CAAAATAATATATATATACATATATTACAGCAAAGTTAAAGCTTTTATGCAAACAACTCAAAAGGAAAATTCAAATATATGTAAATAAAATAATTTCAAATAAACTCCATTAATAGTTAGCATTACGGCTTATGTGCATAAATTAAATAGTGGAAATTGAAAATGAAAAAAAACTATGAAAATTAATATATACAAAAAAATAATTTATAAAATATTTTCAAAATATATGTACAAATAAATAATTTTTTTTTTGCTATGAAAATGCAAAAATTGTATTTACAAATAATTCTATAAAAAAATACATGAAAAAATATTAAGAAAAAAATAATTTATATATATTTAATAAAAAAACTAAAAAAAGTGATTTGAATTAAAAAAATTGAGATTTAAAAATAAAAAAATGTTAATAATATAATATAACAATAATATACATATATAATATGCATAATATATAACAAATTTAAAAGAAAAATTCAATTAAATTAAAGTGGCAAAATGAAATATTTATTATTTATAAAAAAGGCATAATGAAAATATATTTTACAAAATATTTAATATTAAATTATAAATAAACTGAGCTTAAAAATTGAAAAATAAATAAATATTAATTTTTGTCATAAGAAATTCCATCTTTGCACTTGAAGCTGCCTGTTAAATGTTGTTTGAATTTTAATTTAATCAAGTTAAAGTAAATAAAATACAAATTATATAAATATTTGCTCAACATATTTTGCAGTGCATAAATAAATACAATTGTTAGAGCTAAAGCAATATTCTGAAGTTGTTTGTGAGGCAGAAGTGTGTAAAGCAATTACAAGATTGTTTTTGATACTGCCAAAGTGTGTGTATGTGTGTGTTTAAGTATTCTCAATTGTGCATATAGAAATATATATAAATATATATATATATAGAGTTATATAAATTAAGACAACTGGCCCAGTCAATGGCCAAGTTATGACATGAAACGTGCAGCCAGCTCGTTAAAGGCAAGTGCAAAATTATTTATATATATACAAAATATATATATAAATATATATTTATAATAACCGTAATATAGACAGCTGCATTAAAATGCTCGCCACGCCAGCCACATTAAAAACTGCTCAACAGAATTTGCATAATTCTCTTGCTCTGCAGTCTGGGCCATTGCACTGTCAGCCGCTGTCACGTCACGTCTGTCGGGCGGGCAAACAAACAGCTTCATTACAAAATCCTTATGTACTGCGCTCCAGCAAGTAGGCAAGCAAATTAAACAATAATTATTTATGCAATAACAAATGACTACGCAAACAGATGCAAGTGCAAGCGAGATGCAAATAGTTGGCAGACAAACGCAAAACTAAGTTGAGCTCGGCGAGCCGTGTAAAATTATATTCTAAGCGCCAAATGTTCCGTCACTCTCTGTGTCAACCCCTCTCTCTCTCTCTCTGTGTGTCAGCGTGTATGTATGAGTGACTTGCATCAAGTTTTGGCATAATTTAAACATTTATTGTTTAATTTAATGGAATAGTTTTGTGCCTTTGAGTGCGGGCGGCGGCAACTGTTAATGTTATTAAATCATTTTTAAAGTGCCTGAAAATCATTTAATTTATTTGTGCACAAGTTCTATGCATACAGTGAAGCTTGACTAATAAGTTAATGCAGTGCAAACACATGAACAATTATTGTACGAAATTTACGGCAGCTGTTGGCATAGTTTAGCATATAAATGAGGCTCAGCTCTTAAGTCTGAAAATTTTCAAAATTTAAATTTGCTTTTCATTTGCTCAGAATCTGTTCGCTTTCAGTTATATAACTAAGTAAATGTTTAAATTAAAGTTTTAAGTAATTTTTTGGTCAATATAATAAAAAAAATTAGCTAAAAATAATTTTCAAATTTCAATGAGTAAACTAGTATGGTAACTTTTGATTTAATTGCATAAGGATGATATAAATATATTACATTTATTTTTAGTTTACGATATTATGTACTATATATTTACGCATATTTATGGACTTTAATATACTCCTAAAAACTCAATCTATAATTTTGCCTTTCTTATTTAATCGGAATTATAGCATCAAAATTATATTTAAATATTTGTTACTTGATCCCCATCTCTCTGTGAGCTGTATCATAATATTCTTATTGAAAATTTTGGAATATTTTAGCATTTACTTACATATAACGTTTTCGTTAAGGAACACTAAATGTTCTTGTTTGAGTGAGTTCACAAATTGATCTCAGCCAAAAAATTAAACAATATTTTCATGCATCCAATAGCTTAAAGGCCTTTTAACTACAATAAATATTTTTTAACTACAATCAAATATTGCTTCAAATTTTCAATATATAATTTATAAAAAACGAATACTCTCAACTCTTTCTAGTTGCATAAAAACACATATTTCGCAGACTATAATTTCATATAAATATTATATCAACTCTAAGAACTAGTTTCAGCTGTAATACATAAAATTTCTATATTAAGTTATTTCGACAGCATTGACAATCAAATAAATGCACTCTCTCTGCCTAAGATGCATTGCTCTACGTGGCAAGCCGCCTTAGGCACTACACACTGTTGCTTTATATAAGTTCGCGCACTTGTCTTGCTTCTAGAGGCAATATATCTTCAACGATCTGCTCTGACTGTCTATCTGCGCTGTGTGCCTCGCTCTTGTTACGCCCACACACACAGTTAGCCGCGTTCTTTATGCGTTCATTCATGCAGCGTGACTTCTATTATAGCACACACGCACACACATATGAGTTTTATTGGTGTGTGTGCGCGTGTGAATGACTTCACGCTGCTGATGCCATTGCTAACAACTACAATAACAATGGGAGCAGCAGCAGCAGCAGCAGCAACTGGCGCCGCTTGCGACGTCACTTAATATACAAATTTCAGTAAATATTTATACACGCACACACACACACACACACACACACAGTCACGTAGCTGCTGCAGTTTCCGCTGAGTTTTCTTAGAGCTGTCAGCCGATTGCCAGACCGTAGCGAGACTCAGCCTCCAGAGAGTGACTCTCTCTCTCCCTCTTTGTCACTCTCTTTCACACACACTCTCTCTCTCCCTCTCTACGACAACAATTCGTTCAATTTGAAGCAATCAAGTTATTTTAATTCATTACGCTTACGCGGGCAACACTTTGGAGGCATGCAGCGACTGCAACACAATGAGAGGCCACGCCCCTTGAGCCACGTTCTTGGAGGGCAAGTCCATGTGCATTCTGCCTGACACCCATTCTCTGCGTGTGTGTGTGTATGTGTATATTATTTGCATGTGTTTATATTACATTCTCGCACACACACACTGGCACACCATCAAAATGTCAGACATCTGTCATTTAATTTAATTTGACTTCACTTGCTTTCATTTGTTCGCGTTCGCCTTCGCCTTTGCCTTCGCTTTTGCCTTCTCAGTTTTCCTTTACCTTCAGCTCCGTTTTCCACTTTTTCGCGCTTTATTTATTTTTTTTTTTGCCAGGCAAAGGCGTCAGCCACTGCCTTAAAACGTGCAATTTAGCGGGAAGGCGGTGCCAGCGAGCTGTTTCTGTTGTTATAGCTGTTATTACTGCATTTGCTGTGTGTGTGTGTGTGCTGTGGGACACACACGCGCATAACTTAAAACGTTTTGCATAGTCACTGAGCTGGGCGACATGGAAGGCAAAACTTTTGGGAACCACGAAGAGTCGCGCATGCACTCAACATTTAATTTGTTTTTAAAATGCATAGAACAGTTTGTCTTACTCGAGCACTTGCTATTATGATAACAATATATTGAATATCAATAATATTATTCTAGATCTTATTATTGAGGTATCTGTTTAATATATATAGTTATTATATTAGTTTAGTAAAATCTTTCTGCTTGACACAAATGCTTTTCTCTGCTCATGTTTACTTTGGAAAGTGCCTACATAAATTTGAAAAAAAAAATATCATCTCCTGCTGCATTTATTTTAAAATTTCATTCAGTCATTCATTATGTGAAATGAACATAGAAAAAAGAGCAGGAAATATCGCTGAAGTCAAAGTAGAAACTATAATGAAGCAAATATACAAAGACAAAAATACTTGGCAAAGAATTTGTGACTGTGCCAAAAAGGTATTGCGGCAGAAAGTGAGACCCAGATGCAAGCGAATAAGAGAATATTGAGAAAAAGTCTAGAAGCAATCCTGCTTGAAGGTTAAGGCAGGAATGCGGGGTTTCAAGTTGGAAGAAAGCAAAAGTAAATTTTATTTTTAAATTTTATTAATATTACCATTATTATTATTATTATCAGAATAATTTTTTAAAATATTAATCATGTTACTTTGCCTATGCTTATGATTACAGCTTACAGATTTATTTGTATTATTAATTATTAATTAATTTATTATTAACATCCATAAACATTGCCAGCCATTAGAGGGAATTCTCTAGTTCTCTGATATATAAGTGACTCACTTGGCAATTCAGCTACTAAGCACTTTAATGTTTAGTATTATTGTCTCTGTAAATTGATCATACATTCAACACACGACCCAATAAAGCTGACTAAAATGACTAAGCCGCAGCTTAGCTTTCTACATTAATAAACTCTGATGCGAGCTCATATCTCTCATTATAAGTTGAACGAGCGAGCGAGGGCTTCAAGCTCAATCGCTCGCTATAAGCTTGAATAAATAGTTTATGGAATGAATGTTGATATCTCAGATAAGTTTTCTGAGATATGCTTTGAATAAGCTGTGCTAATTGAGATCTAAGGCATATAAATGTCTCGGGATTAAGAGTTCGACAAAATACACAAGAATTTTAAATTTTAAAAATTATAGAAATATATTTCATAAAAATTAATTAAAAATATATAAAAAATATATTATTAAATTATATTAGAATAATTTTAAATTACTGAGATAGGTCACATTTTGATTGCTTATATACGATTTTATCTCAAGAAATTTGATTTCTTGTTTGTCATTAGTTGAACTAAATGAATTGCTGTTCCATGTCTTCCATGGCTTGTTGGGCTTCACTGTAGTCGCTTCAGCTTCTGTTTGCGGTTCTGCTTGGCCACTGCCTTAAGCTGCTTAGCCCGATGTCTGAGCTTCTGTTCGAGCAGCCGCTTGAACTGCTGCTCCCTGACCAGTATCTGCAGATCCTCGTAGCTGCATGTGGCCATGCGCTGCTTCACTTTGGCGATTAACTCGTTGGTCAACTGAATCTTGGTCTGCGACTTCTTGGCGTAGTGCACCTTGCGGCGCTGCAGCTCAGAGCGGTGCAGAAAGAGAGCGTAGGCGGTCTTTGCGGTTGTTGCTTCCATGACGATTGTTGACTGAATGTGTAAGGATGTGCCTCCAGCTACCCCTTTTATATGCTGCTGGCACACAGGTCCCGCTTGGGACAACCCTTTTACTTTTTTAGTTTGTTTGCCTGACTACCCCAAGTGCGTCCGCTCGTGATTTTTCATGTTGCTATCCTTCGGAGTGCCGTTTACCTGGTGCGCGTGCACCTGCAGCTGCAGCTGGCTTATCGGGTCCTGTGGCCTACCGGGAGCCCTCGCAGGTAGTGGCTGTTATCTTTAACGTTCCGGCTACGTGTTGTGGCATTAATGCACTTTAGGCAAATCCCACACATATGCATGACACAGGCTAAAAGTGAACGGGCCAACTGAACGCTTCACTCAGGCAGGAAACGGAAAAGTTAGGTAAACTTTCGCGCTTCGTTGACCCAAATCAACGAGCGAGCGAAGTTTTTGAGTATGCATTGGAAAATTTTTACGTGCTGCATCAATAACTTGGCCAACGACGCATCCTTGACAGGACCACGCACACTTGACGAGCTGTAGCTATCTCGCCCTCCCCCACTCTGTGGTTTATTAATTTGCATGAACTTCGGCAATGCTCATTTTTCATGTCTGGCTTTTTGGACCGGGCAGCAGCTAAAGCCGCAATTAAAAATTGCTTATGGAACTAAAGGGCCCTCACAGCCACGCCCACGTTATGCAAAACTTGCAGAACTTTTTTGGCCAAGCTTACTTAATAGTCTCTCCCCTTTTTCGTATGCCATTTCCGCTTGGCACCTCGCCGTTGCCCGCCTTTGGGCATTTAGCTAAGGCAACTGTGCATCATTATTTTTGAATTTTTGACAGTTTTTTCCACGACGATAAGCTACTTGTGAATCAGCTCAGCTTAAATACACGCAGCTGTGCGTGTGTATGCGTGTGTGTGTGTCTTGTCACATTTCCGGCGGAAGTGTAAGCAGAAAAGTTCGTTTTCGTTAAATGCCAGCAAGAAATGCAACGTCGCTTCATTTTCTCAGCCAGACATTGACTGATGATGATGAGCATGATGATGTAAATGGGATTTATAGTGCGCCATGACAATAGTAAACTGCTTCAGCACACACCCACGCACACCCGCTAAGACTTTGCTGGTAACAAGTAGCTGAAATCATAAGCTGTGATAGCTTCTTTGTGCAGCTGCTGTGACGAGCCAGCAAATTGCCTCACTGAATTTATAGTACAATTACCACAAATCTAATGAGCCCAGGCACTGACGAGACGAGCGGGCACATAGCAGCAGACTTGAGCTTCATTTTTTGTCTGTAGCATACTTATTGGGGCAGGGTGTTCAAGTTAAACTAATGAAATGAATGCTAACAGCCAGAGACCGAGCAGGTTGCTTAATTATGTAGGAATGAATTGAAGCAAATGATATTTAAAGAAAACTTTGAGGATTAGCAAACTGGCAGTTAGTTAGTAGAGAGAGCTGACAATCAGTCAAAGGTAGAGTAATTGTATGAGGAGCTGGTTCATATCAGAGTACTTTGAACTTACTGTTGGAGGCTTCTGTAAGCTGCTGCTTAAGCTGTGTTCGTTGTTATATTGAAGCATTGAATAGTTTTGGTTATGTAGTAGATGAGCAGGTTGCAATGCTGAGGGCATTGTGGCTTGTCCCTAGTCTCATGTAGACATTGTGAGCGATAGAGGAGAGCGCATCTATACGTGCTTATATATTCTATATCTGCTTTTCTATGTATTTGTATATATATATATATATATATTCAACAGTTGCTCAATAGCTGCTGCAATTTCTATGCGTACATGTAGACTAAGTTATGATAAGTACCAAGTCAAGTTTGCTTAATGAAGTTCTTAATCAGAGACGTTCCAGCTCAGCCTTGCGCTGATTATGCAAGGAAGCTAAAGGTTGTCTCAGCTAGCAAACTTTAACTAGCCTCTAAGCCAATATAACATATGCCTTTGCTTTACAGTTCTCTATGGCAATGTACTAAGTATTTATACTTTTCTACTTCTAGTTACTTGCAACTCACGCACAGCCGCTAAGAACTGTAGCAAAATGAAACGTGGCAGGTCTCTGCTGTCTCTCGCGCTGCTGCTGAGCTGTCTCTGCTCTGCAGCTGGCTTGAGCCTCGCGAACGGCACAATTGTTGCTGGCTTGACCGATGGCAGCGCCGCTGGCAATGCCAATTCGCCCACACTTGGCGCTGGCCTCGGCGCTGGCGGCAGCAATAGCAGCGGCGGTGCGAGCAACAGTGGTGCCAGCCCGCCAAGCGGTGGCACGGCCGCCCTATCGAACAGCGAGCCAAGCGGTAGTAGCGGCAACAGCGGCTCATCGGCCGGTGGTGCAGCTGGTGGCAGCAGCGCAGGCAGCAGCGGCGGTGGCAGCAGCGACACAAACTCCGCCCTGATGCAGGCGCCCAAGGAAAAGCAGTACGAGAAGTGCACTGGACCGGGCGATCCGGGGCCGTGTAAGCAGTACATATACAAGTGGCGCTACGAGCCGACGACCGGCGAATGCAGCACCTTCATCTGGGGCGGCTGCGATGGTAATCCGCAGAATCGGTTTAGCACCGAGCCGGAGTGCCTCTTTCACTGCGTTGGCGGACCACGTAAGCAAATGAAAACGAAATTGCGGCCAAGTTTTTAAGCCAAGTGCCCCGCAGATACTTTGCCGCCATTTTTGCTGTCGACCACCCGGGAGCCGAGCACCACGGAATCGTCTCAGGCCAGCTACACACAGAGTCCGGCACAGCTGCCCGCGGGCTACAATGGTGGACGGTTAATGGGCGGCACCACGCCCGTGCCCATCGAGCAGCGCGGTCCCGAATTGACATTTGCGGAAACGGGTCAGGGCAAGACCTTCATGTTTGCCAAAAACAACACGTTCATCCAAATGGACGGCGACATCATACAGACATTTCAATTACGGTGAGTGGGGGGCGGCCCCAGCTGGCCCAGGAGTCCAGTCAGGATATTGACGGCACGCTCGACACACTTACCTCAATTTGGTTGGGCAGCAGTTTTGAAGTCTTTTGCATATTTCATGCTACACCAGAGAGGGCGAGGGCGAGAGAGCCGCGATTCGCGCGTCATTTGCCGGATTGTTAGCCTTGCAGCTTGAAAACGTGTTTGATGTGTGCCTTAACACTAGAATGCCAACAATTTTATGACCAAGGTTATTTGATATATAGCTTATAAAAATTAAGCTAGGTTAGCTAGATTATTTGCATCTTTATTTCGAGCTTGGTTCTTTAATAAATTTAAAAAAAAAATTTAAAAACAACTCAAACAACCCCATTAAAACAACAACAAATAACCCAAATTATCAGCTTTAAGAGTGAGCTAAGACTTTCCATCATTCAAGCTTAGCTTCTTGCTGAAGAAACTCTCATCCAATGAGATTGCTCGTTTTCATGGGTTAAGGACTCGATTGTTAAGTGTCGCACAGATGCAATTAGCCAACATGACGCAACTTTAAAATATGTTTGTGTCCTAAATACTTTGGCAATTAAGTGTTCTAGCCGGCAACTGTTTGAAATTTGATTTTCTGCTCAATTGCAGGACCTCGTTTTGACCTAGTTAACAGGCAAGTTTTGCTCAGTTGCAATTTGCACAAACATTTAACATTTGCATATTGAATTAAGATAAAAAGAAAAATAAAACAAAAAAAATATATTGCCAGAAGTCACATAAAATACGCAAAGTAACTTTGTTGTTGGCAAGTTGAGCAAACGTCTCTGAGGCCATAAAGTGAACTGTATTTATAACATATATCTCTACAACTCTTTCGCTCCTTGGCAGACTTTGCCGGGAGATATCATTTCAGTTTCGCACACGCCTGCCGCACGGCCTGCTCGTCTATCACAATGTTAAGAATCCGGATCGCATTAATTTGGACCCCTATGCACTCTATGTGATTGTCGAGAAGGGTCAGCTAAAGGTTGTACATGTCTTTGGCAAGCATTCAACGAGTGTCACTGTGGGCGAGAGCCTGAATCGAGATGAATGGCACAGTGTTATGGTGAGTAGCACAAAAAGTAGACCTAACTAGCTGCGCTGCTGCCACCTAGCTCCAATTGCAGTTGCAAGCAGCCAACTGCCAAGCTCTTTGAGCTGGCTAGAAATGCCAGGCTTTCAAGGTTTTTGCCTGCTCTGCTCTGCTTACTGAGTGCAGTTGAAGTTTCATGTGCTCAGACTTGTTACTGTAATTGCTGTGGTTGAAGTTTCTGCCCTTTGATCGTGGCCATATTAGCTGTGTTGTGAGGCTTGGAGCGAGCTGAGCTGGGGTTTGCTTATCTTAAAAAAAAGCAGAAGTTTACCTGAAGGCTTCAAGTGGACTATTTTTTTAATTCAATTCAAATCAGCTGGGAAAATCAAGCTAGCAATATTTTTTTTTTATTTTTTCAGTAATAATTTTAACAACTGAAGACTTGCTAAATTTTATAATTCATTTAATAATATTCAAAAAATATATAAACTCGTTTAACACTTGCCCAAATACTCAGAAAAATGCTCAAAATATATTTGCAGCTTCTTTGCCCACAAAGCCCACTCCTAGGGTATCTCAACTAGTCGTCGTTATCTATATTTTTCCGATTAGCATGCAGCATATGTTCATTTAGCAATTAGTAAGATTGCAAAAGTGTACATGTGTGCGTGTGTGCGCTTGTGTGTGTTGTCTATGTTGTATTGCTGTACGTGTGTTTTTGTTGGTGTAAAACGCTTTATCAAAGTTTTATAACAAAGCAAGCAGCTTGATTTATGAACGCTCAACTTTTGTTAACTCACCTAACGGACATGGCCAGGACCTCGAATTGTTTAAGGACCCGCCCAGCAGCCGGCAGTCGGCAGCCAGCGTCATCATCAATAACACACACGGGCAGCAGCATCATCAACATTATCATCAGCAGCGGCAGATCGTGTTGCGTGTTTTCATATTTAAAACAAACATATCCACTGCTAATCACACTCAGCCAGATGCCGGCACACACACACACACACACACACACATCGTATACACTCATAAATAACACGCAAATTCCTAATGAATTTCAGCTGATCCCTGCAATGTGCGCGCAGCAGTTGCAATTCATTTTCGTAGATTTTTCATGCGCAACAAACAACAGCAGCAACAACGACAACAACAACAACAACAACAATTTATCGCCCAGCGCTTGCAACTTCAACTCTGGGCCAAAACGCATAAATTCATAAATTTTTATCATTTGTCTGCGTGTGCGTGTGTAGGTTGTGCGCGTTGCTCGCGATTGTCACGCCCCCAAACAAGCAGCAGGCAGCTAGCTAGCTAGCTATCTAGCTGGTTTATTGGTTTTATGCACCATATCCTTCACAACCTACCATATATACACATAAATATATATATCTATATACATATAACATATCTGTCTCTCTTTCACTCGCTCTCTGGCGCTGCACAGGTGCGCATCGATGTCCATGGGGCAAGATTAATTGCACGCGTCGACAATAGTCAGGAGGAGGTATATCTGAAAGGTCTGAATCACGAGTACAACTACGGCGTCTCCACGAATTTGCCATCGGTGGTGCTGGTCGGAGGTGAGAACCAAATCAATTGTGTGTATACTAACTATGTGTGTGCGGGTGTATGTGTGTGTACGTCTGTGTTTGCCAACAAATTCAGTTAGCTGTCTGCCCTGTTTTAAAGCCGGCGCCTGCATCTATGCAACGATTTTGCGGCAAGTGCAGCAACAATTGAAATACGGCAAGTTGAATGAAGGAAAAATTCGAGTAAGAAGCGTTCAGTTAGATAAAGAATGACGTTTAAATGCTCTTCAAAGCTTTGGAAAAGTTTAAAGTATATAAAAAATATATAATATAAATATTAAAAAAAATATTTATTATAAATTATATTGAGTTCTTAACTGGAATATTGTCTAAGGGTTCCAAATTAATTATTTTTGGAATATATAAAAATTAGTTGAGCTTGAGCATGGTATTCAAAGTCTGTATTATTTTCTATTTTGAATATAAATATATATGAGGGCAGCCTGAATATAATATAATATAGAAAATATACTTTTTTAATATGTAAAATATATTTTGCTTTAAGTCTAACGTAGAGAGGAATAGACTTGCCTGACTCATGCAATACACTTCCTTAAATGGAGGCCATATAAAGCGTCGACTATGACTCTGAGCTTAGTATACTCTATGCAGAAAAAACATTTGATACGTCAAATCTAAAAATGAAAATTTTAAATCGAATTTCGAATTCGATAGACGACGCAGACGCACACACACACACAGCTGCACTTGCTCATTTGCCATTGAATGAACTGTGCATGCGGCAGGTATAGTTGTGCGTGTGTGTGTATAAATCTGTGTGTGTTTGTGACTTTGAGAGCCGTTTTTGTATGCGATGTGAAAATTTAATTATTTGACGTACTCAAAAGCGGAAAAACTCATGACGAACTCATGAAATGTTCACGAAATGCGTCATTGATTGCATAGAACACAAAGCGGGGATTGGGTGGGGCAGGGCAGGGCAGGAGCAATTGCCATATAGTCACTAGTCTAGCGTTCACAATGGAAAATGTTTGCAGAGGAAATATTTCACAAATCGCTGAGCAGATTTTTCACTCAACAAAAGCAAATGCAGATTAAATAAATAGTTGTGAAATAAAGCAGCTTTCGGCTCAAATTAATTACAAAATCAAATAGGTTTATAGACAACTGCATAGTATCAATAAAATTTTCAATTAACTTGCAGTTGAGCTTAGTTTAGACCAAAACATAAATACTGCTAAAACATCAACTCATTTGGGCCAGCAACTTTTTTAATTAAACAATATTTAAAGCGCACCCATCAAAACTTTTCAGCTGTAAACAAAATGTTTTTCTACAGCACACAATATACACAAATATCTATTTACATATATACATGGACGTACATACATATTTTTTCTGGACCAGCCCAAACTAAAATCCGTTTACAAATATTTTGCTCTCGTTAATTAATCTTGTTTGAATGTGTGTGTTGGTCAGTTGCCCAGCTCAACTTTAAGCCCTCCCTGAAAACTCAAATTATAATTCAAAATTTCATATTCGCAGGCCTCTCGTCCGAGGAGAAGCTGCATGGCGTTAAATATATTACCGAATCGTTTGTCGGCTGCATTCGCAACGTGGTGCTTAGCTCCGGCAAAGCGGCATCCGATCTGCTGCCAATTGCCCCACTGGTGGCCACCAAGCACGAGAACGTCAACGAAGGCTGCTCCGATATGTGCGACTCCTCGAATCACAATCTCTGCTTTGTGGGCTCCCGTTGCATCAACCACTATGCGGGCATCTCATGCGATTGCTTTGGCACACACTACGAGGGCGAGCACTGTGACATTTACAGTGAGTATATGACGACGTCTAGGGTTATGCATAGCTGTATGAGTTTGAATATGGAGTCGAAGTTGCAAGTGCAATAAGCAGAGGAGTATGAATAGAGGAATGAGTTTAAGTCACTGTGCAAGCAGAAGCAGGCGTACGAGAGTGACTTTACAGCTGTGGTCATGACAATAGTAGTGCTGCTCTTGAATGCCAAGAAGAGAATTGCGAAAAGGTGTCATTTATTTGGGTTAGAATTTATTTGTTTCTGACAATTTTGAAGAGATGTATTGAAAATCAGGTGTTCATAGAAAATGTAGTGCTAGATGTAGGGAATAAAAAACATAAAAATCAATAGAAAATTATGAAAATTAATTAAGTTACATTTTACCATTTAAAATGAAATAAATAAAATAATAAAATAGAAATAATCAAGGTAAAACTTGTAAACATTTCTTGCTCAATCGCACTACTATTTTTATGAACACAGCTGTAAGTCAAACTGGGAGTAGAACTACAAGTGGGAGTGGGAGCATGACAGTGAATTAGTGGAAATACAAGGTACAAGTAAGAACAAGAGCTTAAGTGGGTGCCGAAGTATGCTTAGAAGTATGAGTATGACTCGGCGTGAGAGTATATGTGTTTTATAAGCAGAAGTATGAGTGAAGTGAGAAATATGAATATGTTGAATATGAACAAAGCTCTCAAGCACTCAGAGAAAAAACTAGGCCACGAGTGCTCCAATTAATCACAAAGATGAATTTTATTTAGTCATAGCTCAAGCTGACAGGCTAATCAATAAATTGTTATATAAAGAATATTTTAAAAATCAATGGGAATTCCGTTGAGTACAATCTGCACTTCATGAGTTTGTCTTGTTTCTATGCAATTTTTGGTTCTAGCACTGAGCTCTAAGTGAGATGTGCTTGAAGCTGCATCTGCTTATTTATCAAATCAAATCAAATCAAATTTTCATAGACAAATAAAGCTTTATTCGCGCATTAGCTGCGTTGTTCATGGAATAAGTTTTAAGACTTAATAAATTATTATAAATTACTAATGACAATTAATTGACATTTCGCCTTGCAGCCATTTCGTCTGAGATCATATTAAATTTACAAACATTTTCTTAGAATTTGAGCATTTGAAAACTTTGCTTTTCTCTCAGTGAGTGTAAGTTGAAAGTTGTGTTTGTTGCGCCCTCCCCCACTCTCTGTCTCACTGGTCAGACAATATGGCAGCATTGGACATAGGGGCCTGATGCCTGATGCCAGCGCCATTTTGTTTTAATTATAAACTATGTTTGTTTGCTTGCGGTTAACAGTCTGTCCTCCCTGCGGGCAGGCCGTTTGACCATTCGGCCGCCCGACCGTCTCGCCCGTGGCTGCAGTTTCTAAACACGCTAATGACCTGACCATAAATTATGCAAAATAGTGTTTGACTTTTTGACTGCCGGGCAAAATGTGCGCAAAATTAGTTTGTTGAGCTTCAAATATAACTAACTGGCCTTTGTCACACTTACCCTTACTTACTGCCCTACACAGCTGCCCGCCCCGCCTGTCATTTGGCCGTTTGGCAGGCATTTAGTTAATGACATAAAGCCAATTCCATGCCGGCATAATTCCAATTAAGTCACGCGAGCCCATTAAAAATGCCAAAGCCATTAAAAATTGAGCGGCACGTTTATGTTATTTTTTGTGTGGACATTAGAGTAGCTAGTCAGGCATAGCCGAACACGCAAACACACTGCACAGATTGGATTAAGAACTACTTATGTGGACATTCTTATATATTTTATACTATGCATATAGAGAACCCTTCTGCTTTTCTTAACCCATTAACAGTCTAATTTTTACCATCTTCAATCTTTTATTTAGTAAATACTTTCATCATATTTATTCGCTTCTGCTTTGATTTTAAAGAGTATCACAATAAGCAGCTTAGCTACAGTTTTGACGTTTAGCTCAAATTTAAATGCAAATATTGCACAACAAAAAGAACAATAAATACAACAGAGCAACAACAATTGCTTAATATAAACATTCAAGCGAATAATTGCAAAAACAAGCAAGAAAAAGCCAATCGACTGTTAAATACTTTATTTAAATAAGATTGAATAGTTAAAAACAAATCTCTTAAGCGCATGATGAATAGCAGTGGAGTTGCATGGATTTTTTATTTTATGCGGAAAAATTGGGAGTCTAGCAAACTAACAACCAAACAAAAATAATCAAACTATATTACTATACATTTTAAATTAATTTATTTCTTTGTTACCTTATACATTGTATACAGATTATTAGTTCCTCATACACAATCCCATTTACTACATTCTTCAACAACTAAAAACATATCAAAGGGATGATTACTTTGGTTAATTTCTTACATCATAAATAGACTAAATAAATCTTATCATTTTACTTGACTATATAAACATCTATAGGCAAATTCAGTCTCTCTATCTCTCAAACGAATCAATATGCCCATATGCAATTGACTAAAGAGAGTATCGCCGTATCTAGTTTGGCTTTTAAAATCTGACCTTTTGAATATATAAAATCAATCTCTCTCTTCGTCTCTCTCTCTTTCCCTTTCACTCCTTCGCCCATGCCAACAAACATACTCCAATATATTGCGGATAGCAGCATATCGTAGATATATGCCAGTTATATGTCATCTCATACCTTATGAATACGTACGTTTCTCTCTCCCTCTCCCTTTCGCTCTCTTACAAACCAATATACCCATCTCAAATGTAGTAAACACAGCATACCAAAAAAAAATAAAAATAGTCTAATGAAAGCGCGAAAACTCGAAATTTAGGCAATGGACAGCTGCAAATTGCACAATTTCTGGCAGAGCTAACGGCATGTGGCAGCCATTTTGGAAATACGCTCTCTAAATGGCGTCTGTCAAGGACAAATGGCGCCGTGACGTGCGAGTTTGTCGAGCATTTACAGTCGCTGCCACCGATCACAATTACAACCAGGCAGTGTGTGAGAGAGAGCGAGAGAGGAGAAGCATAAGAGCAAAAGAGAGTTGGCAAGTGCTAGCAAATTGCACAGATGTAGTCTACGAGACTGCGAGCTCGACCCACAGAGCGCTTGTCGTTAGTTGCATGTTGCAGTTGTCAACATTTCGGTTGTTCTTGCTGCTGCTGCAACGGAAACACTGTCGGAGCCATTAAAAGCGTTGCGATGGGTGCACAGCTGTGCCCGTAGGTAGAAACATGAACGTGCGACATAATCAAACGCAGACGGTGCCTGTAATGCAATAACTAAAATGACAGCCCACTGTCTGTCTGACTGCCTGTCAGTCCGTCTCTCTGTCTGTACGGACCAACATTCCACTGCACCGACCTACCCTCTGCCAGTGTACCAGAGTCAACGAAATGTGAACAGCGTGAAAATCATTAGCCCAGCCATGAAAATTCTTTGAAACAGACTGCCAGATTTTCGATTTTCTTTTTTTTTTTTGTTGGTTTCGTTGGTCCAGCTATATGCTGGACTGCTATATGAAATCGGAGCTGGTGATGCGGTGGTGCTGTCAAACGTGGTTGGCCCAACGTTCCATTCAACTCAACTTTGGTTCAGCTGTCAGCTAGCTGACAGTCAACTCGGCAACGGACAAAAGCAGCTAGAACATTGTGGCCGTAAATGTTGCTTAAAGCATGCTGAAACTGTTTCTCAATTAGTTAAGCAGTGTGCGTATGCCAAATACCCTGTAATAAATAGAAATTACGGGCTTTGATGACTTTAGCTCATAGGGTCTGTAAGAGAATATCTATTCATTAGACTGATTGATGCTTCAGGCTCAGGTCTAGCTTATGGATTCCTTTTTAGCCAATGGCAATGGATTTATGGTTAAATATCTTAAAGCGAAAACATTATATAGACTCATTCTTCAGAAACTTTGTCTAAGAGACTTCCTGAAACAAATGTGTGCTTTACCTTTAGCATATACTTTCCAAATACACGTTGAGCCTAGATACTGGGTACAGGGTATATAAAGTAAGCCTTCTGAAAAGACAACATTTTATATCTATTTAAAATAGCAACTGACTTATCTATAGAGAAAAATGATGTGAAATTTGATATGCATTATTTTGCCTATCCATTTTATCTCATAAAAATAGGCAAGGATAAATTTAATTTCGATTTTATAGTATCTAGAAAATCGATAAATTTTAACCTCTTTTGGGTTATTTTTCAGTTTAAATCTTTAATCAAGTATTCAGTTACATTGTGTATAGGCAAATGCTTTGTTTTGCCTAATAGATACCTTTGACTTTATCGATACTTTCCACTTTATAACATAAAGTGGAGTTAACCAAGTATTTAGATCTATGAAAGATGCCTTTTTGTGCTTCCCTCTTAGTCACCTCAGCAGGGTATTAAAAGTTAGGCGAGTTAAGCGATTATAGGAATTTTCGCTCCCTAATGCATTTTGACAATTTAATTATGGCTTGGCCAATTCTTGTATTTGGCCTTAAGCACTCCAGCTACGGTTGTCAGGCAAGCAGCGGGCTTAAGCCTTGGTATCAACTATGCATGGAGATAGCTCTCGTAATGTTATTCTGTGTTTCAACTAAATCGTTTACCTCGCATAGCTGTCGCAAATTGTTAAGATGAATTCATTCAACACTCGCCAATTTACCCACTCGGAGTTCGCGTTCAATACGCTCTCGAACACAGCCCGTGAAATGCGCGCCAATCGCTTGGCCACCGATCTGTTGCGCCACGAGGAGCACATCAGTCGGAATCTGTCCGAACGTCGTTCGCCCACCTACGGGGAGTTCAGAAAGCTGGTCCGTGACGTTCATGGCCAGAGCAGCGTGGCGATACAGGCACGGCAAGTCAATGTCTATGAGAGCTTCAAAAATCTGCACCGCAGGCGAATGGATCGGAATATATTGAAAAACATCAAGTCGTCAATAATTACGAAACTGAGAGTCAATAACAACACCAATTCGTTGGACTTCAAGAGCATGTACGGAGGACTGGCGCTGAAGCGAGATTTATTACGCAACAATCTCACCCTGCTATGCCGCATGAACGGCATTTATAGGGTAAAGGGCTGTGTGGATAGTTTCACGCATGAGCCCCTTTTGCCCTCAGCAAATAATTTGAAGCTCAAGCAGGATGCAGTTGTGCTAATCAATGCGAATACTCGTTTGGGCTGCCGGCTGCTTAACGCTAAATCCAAAGTTGATACGTTCAATCCCTGGCGCCCAGCCTCGACCCCTGAACATCCACCCGTTAACAATAAATTAGTACAGAAATATAGCAGCTATATGCCAATACCATTGGACACGATACCCAGACAGTCGCCCATACAGCTGCTGCGTCCGATTATCTACTATGATCTGGCGGTGCGTCCGCAACAGTTCTTAGGTCGCATTTGCATTCAGCTCTACACAGAGGTCAGTCCGGAAGTTGTGCTGGAATTTGTGCGCCTGGCCACCGAGAACGATGTCCAGGCACACAAATTCACGCGCATCTTTTCCGACCTATGGCTGGAGGGTCAACTGATGCCATCATCGAAAGATGCTCTCAAGGACCATCATGATCACCCCTCGCCGCTGGACGCGAGCCGACGGAAGGGCGTGCTCTCCTATTCGTGGAATCATCGCCAGCGTTTCCCCAACGGCCTGCTCGTCTATACGATTAGCTTTAAGACGCTGGCGGTGAAACCACTAAATCGGGTTTGTTTCGGTGTTGTTATGAAGGGCTTGCGACTGCTGGAAATCTGTCGAGACTTTGGCACACATCGTGGCACACCCAAGAAGCGCCTCGAGATAGTCAAATGCGGATTGCTCACCTGACTTCAGAGCGGGGCGTTCGAGCTTTTATCAGGGTTTCCTGCACCAAATTTTACTCCAAAAACATAAAAATTATAAAGTATACGCCTGCATTGCGTTATCGAGTGGGCGTGGCCGACCACCTCTCATGTGTGTGTGTGTGGGCGCGAAAATGTTTCAGAGATAAGCGCGCCAGGCATTTTACTGTCACTGCGACGCAAAAGCAGCCACAAAACAAAAAAAAAATAAGCGCGCAACACGATTTGCACTTTCGCACGGCTGCAGGAGGCGCAGGCGGGCATAAACGCCTGGAGGCCAGCACAGTCATGGTCCAAACAATATAATCTATTTCCGTGCCGGCACTCGACGTTCTTGTTTTTGTTTTTCCTTTTTTTGTGCACCATGCAGATAATGCAGCAAGGACAATGCCACACCGACAACACACAAACGGACGACCAACAAAAAAAAAAAAAAATAAAAAAATTGCAACAGAAAACTTGTTTAAATTTGCTTGGGCTTTTCTGTGGTAAGCTGCGAGCTGCCTGGCAAATGCCAGCCAACTGCAAATATGCCAACAGCCGAATTAAGTGAGAAAGTGCAAAAGTTTAAAAAGGGTTTTGCGTCCAAAACAATTTACCTATAAGCGAGCAGCGCCAATGAAAGTGCAGCGATTGACCTAAATATAAGAGCTAAATATAAGAGAGATTAAGTATGGAAAGTAGACGAGATAGATGTGGAAGGCAAAGTAACAAGATACTAAACATCGAGTGGATTGTAAGATGTGAGAGTTTTCTCAAATTCTTATGAAAGAGATATAGTTTTGTATAAGGTATACAGCTAAGTGGGAAGAGACAATGGGTATCTTATACTCTAATAAGTCTAGTAATACTATATTCATCTTTTTCCATGCTGGATATCTTCTAGTAAAACTGTTTTGATTATAATATTATCATAAAATATATATTCAGCGTTAAATTCTAATACCAAACTCCATCTCTCTTTATCTTTCTCTTTCTCTCTCTCTCTATATGTCTTACTTTCTTCATTTTTCTCTCTCTCTCTTTCACTTTCTCTTTTTCTCCCTCTTTTCCTCTGCCTTTCCCTATCTTCCTCTTACCCTCTTCCACTCTAACCCTCCACAACTTTCTCTTTTTCTCTCTCCCTCGCCCGATTTGAACCCTACTCACCTGCGACCTGCCTTCTCTCAGCTGCCACAATTATAACTCTGCGCGGCGCTAGCTATGTCGCCTATCGCATCTATGACTGGAAGGACCGTGTGCACTCCAATACCATACGCATCAGCATGATTTTTCGCACCAATTTCGATGACTCGGCTTTGTTCTATGCCAGCGGAGAATCGTTGAAGCATCAGTACATAGCAGCCGCTATCAAGAATCAATCGATACATGTGGAAATGGATTTCGGTGACAATGTCATGTCCACGATTCTAACGGATGACCTAACGCGCGGCTATTGGCACAACCTGACCATACTCCATGAGCAGCGCTCCGTGCGCATCATATTGGATCATCAGCAAAAGATTTTGGAGCTGCCGGCAACAGCTAGTGGCAATCTGTTGTTCGATCCGGAAATCTATTTTGGCGGCGGACCAGAGCTCAACAAAAAGAAGGGCCTCATCTCGCACAACAATTTCGTGGGCAGCCTGAAGTATGTCTACTACAATGACATTTCCATACTCTACGAACTGCAGCGCGGCAATCCCAAGGTTCACTATCACGGTGAGTAAGAGCTAAAGAAGAGCCAGCAATCTCAAGAATTTAATAATGTGAATCACGAAAACTCTTCAGATGTTCTTTGTGACATCTTTGTAAATACTCTTTCAAGCTATGACTACGAGCAGCGACTCAACTGAATTTGAATTAAAAGTCTTGATATACTTCACTTCAATTTTGAGCAGCTTATTAGCTGTAAACTATTTATCAGTATCTATATGATCTATACTAACTAATTAGTTAGGGCATTTAATAGTCCTTATAACGTTAGTTAGTTTTGTCTATTCCGTTTTGATCCAGGAATTTGTGAGTTAACTTTTTGCTCGTTACAGGTGTCTTGGAGGCCGAATTCTTTGAGAACGAAGTGAATGTCATACCTATCACCTATCCCTTTGCGACATCACACATTTGGTGGCCCATAAATCATGCCCAAGAATTTAATATTAAATTCGATTTCCGCAGCAGCCGCCCAGGCGCTGTGTTGGCCTACAGTGACGTCACGACCAGCGCCGGAAATGGCTTCTGGGAGGTAAGTGTGCGTTGAAGCATTCAAGCATATATATTCCAGCCAGCTTATGAAATGCACACACACACACACACAAACACACTCCGTCTCAGTGTGTATGCTGGACGTTGACGTCGACGTCGACGTCGACAGTTATGTGCAGCGTGTGCTTAAGACGACTTAGCAAACCTTGTTTTGGGGCCAAGCGGAATGCAAATCAAATGTACATACAACGTGTGTGAGTGTGTGTGCAAAGTGTTTGTGTAAGTGCGCGTGTGTGTGTGTGAATGGCATTGTGTGTGTGCGTGGGCGTGTGAACAAGCAAAGTATGCGAACTTGCAGCAGCAACATTCCCCAAAACAGTTTCTCCTCTAGAGAAAAGAGGCAAATGTAAAATGTGGAAAAAGCATGAGCTGAAATTTGTTATGGGAATCATATCCCGAGGGAGGAAAACAATTTGGATAGCATGCACACATGTAGCTATGAGTGTGTTACTCAACTATATTTAGTTTCTTAAATTATGTTGCTTTCCCACTTGCCTCATTCTCGCTTTATCCCTCCCTCGGTCAGTTTTAATGCCTGCTAATTACCTACTCTAACTCTCATATTTTTATACTCATTTCTGAGCACCTTTAACTTAGGTCATCTGCATGACTGAGTCTTTCTTTCACTCACTCATTGCTTGCCGGCTTTCTCTACTAATTTTTCTCTTTCTAATGCTGATCTCTCATTTAAAATGCTGTCCTTATTTCTTTGTTATACTATTTAGATTGTCTTATTTATTTTTCTTCTCTCTGTTGCTCTGTTGAGTATCTCACTCACTTTTCATATAATTCCACTCGCTCTCTGACTTTTTTATGATCTCTTGTTCATCATATGTTTATCTCTCACATTTCTTCATCTTACATAGTTAATCCTTTTCTTTCACCCACTTTTGAAGCCTTTTCACTTTCTTTTGTAGCTCACTTTATATATAGATCTCGCTCACTTTTTGTCCATATATATGTCCTTCTCTGTCTATATCTTTATCCCTCTTTATATAGTTCTGTCTCTATATATACATATATCTTACTTCCTTTATATATAGATCTTTCTCCCTCTATAAATTATTTATATTTATTTATATTATTATTTATATCTCTCTCTCTCTCTCTCTAAATATATATCTCTTTCTCTATCTGTCTCTTTCTTGGTCTATTTTCACTCACTTGTGCGCTATTTCTACGCCTTTTCTTTCTTTCTATCTCACTTTGAATATTGTCTTTCTTTCTTTTTTTTGTGTGCCTAATAAATTTGTTATATCTTGATATTCCCCTAACTCTCTGTCAAACTTTTTTTTCTTATATGTATCCGTCTCACTTTAGTGTCACAATTGCCTGTCTCTCATAGTCTTCATTCATTCTCGAATTGATTTATGACTTTTGGTGCAAAACAATTTGAAAAGGAATATGATGCATATTTATTATGATTGCGCAATCGAAATTGCGCAAAAGCCAGCAAATCCGTTGCATAGAAAAGTGTCTCAATTGCTGGCCACAGCAAACGCCCTCAACAGCTTAATGCCCATCACTTCAAGAGCGCAAAGCATACATATAGACGTCTGATTATGCAACGTGCGTGTGCATGTATGTGTGTGCGTGTGTGTGTATTTGTATGAATGGCTGTGGCATTTATCTATATTTAAACAAACAAACGTCCTGGCCTCGAACGTTTATTTGGTTACTTGACATTTTCGAAATTCACTAAGGGAATAAACATATAAACAAAAACAAACACACACACGCACACACACAATGCATGTGTGTGTGCAACTGCAATATTTATTTGCATTTTATTGTTGACTTTCTTGCTTTTGATTGCAAAAGACCTCCCGAAAATAAACTCAAATGTCAATAGAAATGCCTTGAGGGGGCTGCATTGGGGTTCTGCAGTTGCCGGCACAACAAATTGCTCGACCAACTCGTAAACTGTTGTTGTAACAGCAAATGAATATTTAAGTTCTTGGAAAAGCCATATAATTTTTCATTTGGCTTTTTGGCTTATTGAAATTGCCGAACGATTTATGTTTGGTCGCCAAATTAATACGAAATTGATTGCACATATGTAGAGCAACATTTTAATAATAATATCTCTTGGTCGAGCGCTTTTCCACAATTTACAAATACAATTGCTATCTGTATGTGCATATGCATTTAATATGTACATTCATGTTTGAGGAACGCATCAGTTAGCTGACAATTTATTTATTTATTAACTGTTTGTCGCGCTGGCCACAAAATTACCACCTGCGCGTTTTTAGCCAAGCTCATAAATTCAAATGCCAACCAACGCCCAAAAAGCAGGCAACAGAAAGTGTCAACTCGCTGAATTGACAGTGGCTAAAAAAAAGAGAGAACAGCAAGCTAATATAGTATATACGCCCGCACAGATCGCAAATCGCCAATCGCGAAATGCGAATAGCGAATCACAAATCGAAAATCGAATTTATTGACAGTTGCACAAATGGTCGAAATAGTCAAATAACAACAGCAACGAAAAAAAAATCCATTTGAAATATTGTCAGTAAATGGACGAGTGTGTGCGTGTGTGTGGCTGTTTGCTTTAAAATATAACATGCTGCCAAAAGTCTAATGAAATATGCAATAAAATTTTAGTATTTGGCAGTTTGCATAGCGACAGACGCACAGCGCAAAAGCGCAATTCACAATAAGTAGAGCGCGGGCAAATAATACCAAATAAATATGACATAAGTACCCTGCCGCACACCCACACATGCCATATATATGGGTCTTTAATATGCAGAAAAACAAGAATATAATACTATACTTTATGGCTGTGTGAAAGCTGTTCAGAATATGCTTCGACTGTGTAAGCAAAACAAATAGATGGCAAGTGGTATATAAGCAAAACTAATTTGTTTCTTTCAATTTGTCTCTGATTCTAGCTTTAAAATTACTTAATTTGGCTATAAACATATTTATAAATACTATACCTTACTTAACAGTTGCTAAGCTAATGCACAGAAGAAGCAGAAGCCCATAAGATTTTTAATTAATCTTACAAATTGAAAGCTACTAAAAGACTAGAAGTTTTGTAAGTTAAAGCATTTTGAGCAAAGTTTTCTTAGTTTAAAGAACTCGAAGAAGAAGGCATAAACAGAAAACGTTTGAAGCCTAGGCTTGGCTTACTAAACATTATACGCAGCTGGCACCAGAAAAATCAATTGCTGAGAAGTAGTTTGCCGAGAGAACGTTGCATGTAATGGAGCTTCTTTGTTAACGACGCAAATAATTTTAAATGACCCCAAAGTGCACTTGATCGAAATAGCTGAGCCTCAACAGATATCCAAAGAAACATATTTGGGTATGCAAAAAGCTCTGCTCACAGCTGGACACCAGCTCGAGTTCACAAATGCTGAAAATAGCTTCAAGTCCTAGTAAGCATTATACTCTTTTTTTTTGTCTAACTAAGGCAATAATTGTACATTTAATATTTAAAATGAATTTAATATATTTAGTATGTGTGAAGCTTAGTCTTAATATCTAACTCAACAGACAAAGCATTAGCTATATTATAGTTATAGTAAGCTGATACCAAAAATTCAGAGTGTTAAAGAGAAAATCAAAATAGTTTTTCACATATTTAGCTAGTTGTTCAGTTCGAAACTTCTTTGTGGAATTCTGAACTATCCATCTCTGTGCTGCACATAATTTATGTCAATTTTATATAATGCCAACTGACAACACTTTACAGTTACACAAATACAAATTAAGCCATGGTAATGCATATTAAAAATAATGATATTAGAAGCGCAGCTAAATGCCTAATGCCAGGGCTTAAATTAAACAATGCGATCATAAATTAAACAAAATTATATATTTGCACAGAAGAGAGAGAGAGACTGAGAGGTACAGGGGGAGAGAGTGAGAGAAAGTGAGGCAGCCAGCATCATATTAATTCTAATGGGACTTGGGCGTGTCATAAATGGCACGCCCACATAGCGCCTCTTCAGCATTCGAAATGCAAACATTCGATTTTGTTGTCGGCTAACAATTTAACAGGCCCGCATTTGGTTTTGATGCCGCATTTTGATGCATTCAGTGCAAATCCGCAGCTCGACTACATGGCGTATGCGTTATATGATTTAAGCGATGCTAATGCACAAAGGCATTGCCAAATTGAAATATGTGCGTGAGTGAGTGAGAGAATGTGTATGTGTGCGTGCGTGTGTGTGCGTAAGCTACACGTTGTGGATTTTGTGGGCATTTGGCAATTTTGATTTATTTTGCAGTTTGAACTTCTAATGCTAACAGAGTTTTGTATTTTTCTCGTGTGTCTATCTATATGTGTGTGTGTGTGTGTGCGTATTTTACATGTGCTGCGATGACAAAACTAATATTTGGTAACACGCTAATGCTGGGGGCCCTCACCTGCGTGCAACGTGCAACATTCGTCGATGACAACTGCGGCCCTGCCTGTCGATAAAACGTGCGCCGGAAATGTAAAACTAACGGAAATTACAAAATGGCTGTCGCTGGCCAACCAACCAACACGCACACACACACGCCCATGCCGCATGCACTCACACACATGCCACACCACACGCCCGCACAGATACGGTTAAGCTCAGACAAGCTGAGTTTCGATCTTGTGCCCGATGTCAATAACAATGTTACCCACTCGACAACGATTAAAATCAATCGTGCCACATCCTGGCACAGCGTCGAGCTGGACTACAAGCACGGCGAGATTCGCTTCACGGTGGACTATCGTCACACGCTGAGCCAGATGTTCGGGCTGACTTTCAACATTGGCGACAAACTCATCATTGGCAGCAGCCTCAAGTCGGCGGCAATGGGCCTGGTCGGCTGCATTCGCGATATCGAGATCAACGGCCATTTGATTGAGCCGCGGCATGTGGTCAAAACGGAGCGTGTCGTCGGCGAGGTGGCTCTCGACAATTGCAACTACATTGATCCGTGCAAGCGCCCAAACACCTGTGAGCATGGCGGCAAGTGCTTCGTAAAGGACGATCGTGTCACCTGCGACTGCAAGCACACGGGCTACATTGGCAAGAATTGCCATTTCACCAAGTACCGCAAGACCTGCGAGGAGCTGGCTCTACTGGGCTTCACCAAATCCGATGTCTACCTAATTGATATCGATGGCAATGGCGTATTTCCGCCTGCCCATGTCAAGTGCGACTTCCAGAGCTTGGAGAATGCGACGAAAACAATTGTGGAACATAATTTGCCCAGCCAAGTGGATGTGAGGTCAGCGCGTGAAACGGACTTTAGCTTCAACATACGCTACAGAGAGTTCTCACCCCACATGCTGCAGGAGCTGATATCACATTCGCTCTACTGTACGCAGTACATCAAATACGATTGCTATCGCGCCCAGCTGGAGCTGCACTCGGCCACTTGGTTTACGTCGTCCGCCAAGAATCTCACTGTCGACTTTCTGGGCAATGTCAAGAGGTAAGCGATCTCCCTTCCCCTACACAGCTCAGCTCAAAATGTCATTGCGTGGCATTTTGTGATTTACGTGCGTGTGCCGCGTGCCACCAATTTGGCGATGCACAGTGGAGCGAGTAGAAAGAATAGTGGAGGGAATAGTGCAGTTATGGCTAAGCTTCATTAATATTTCTTAGGTTTTATGCACTGATATATGAGCTGCACAGTGGGACAAATTATTATATAAAACAGTTGATATTAATCCGAAATTTAGATAGCTTTAAGTATTTACGTCAGTATCATTGAAATTCATGTAAAAATATCAATTTTCATATATTGACTTTTGTGATTTAAGTGCGTGTGCCGCGTGCCACCAATTTGGCGATGCACAGTGGGGCGAGTAGAAAGAATAGTGGAGGGAATAGTGCAGTCATGGCTAAGCTTCATTAATATTTCTTAGGTTTTCTGCACTGATATATGAGCTGCACAGTGGGACAAATTATTATATAAAACAGTTGATATTAATCCGAAATTTAGATAGCTTTAAGTATTTACGTCAGTATCATTGAAATTCATGTAAAAATATCAATTTTCATATATTGACTTTACGATCTCATATTTTCCGGCCCAACCACTGTGCCCTGCTTGGCTAGCGTCCAGTGCTATGCACAAATTGTTGCTGGTATGCGCCTACTTGTGCATCTACTGCTGCCCCTGCCTGGTGCACCGCATGCCACACAATTAATGTTGCAGTCTATTTGCTTAACTTGTTGGTCTGCCACTGTGCATTGTGTGGCCCGTTCTGCTCCAGTGGATAGCTCGCTCGCTCAGTGTGTACGTGCGGTAATACAACAGTATAAATCCTTCATTTCAAACTGCTGGCAGCTCAGCAGTTGGGCAACTGGCCATAGTTAGAAGACCTTTGCCCTCTCGTGACTTCGTCCCTTTCATTTCCAATGTAAACGAAACTTAAATTAATTGCTCGAACATGCATAATATAAGCGCCTAGGCCTACACTTAATGCTAACTGACATATTTATTCACACGGGATAGCAGCCCACAACCTGTGTGAGGCAGGCGCACACCCACTGCCCCCACACACGCTCGCTTTCATAATGCTTCGATTTGTGTCAGCTGCAACAACAACGCCGAATGCGACTGCGATTGCGACAGCAACTGCAAGCAGGGTTCAACTCTCAAGTCATGTCTACAATTGTCATCTTTATGCCACAGGCTCTTGCATCAATTGTGCATTTGTGTGTGTGTGTTTGTGTGCGTTCTATGCCAGTTACGTAATTTGTCATGCTGTTCGGCCTGCTGCTGGCCAGCATCGAGTGACCGCCTGCTGTTGGCTTAGCTCTTCAAATTTGATTTTTCATATGTGTACGCACTAAACTGTTGCCTACTTCTTAGCGTCGGATACTCTTTGCCCATGGGCCATGGCTCTTGACTCTGCTTCCGCACCCGCAAAATCCCTTGACTAAGTTATATGTGTGTAGCATTTGTTTCTATTCATTGGAGCATAACATTTTATGACGCTGAAAACCCGAGCGAATGTTGCATGAGCATGAAGCAAAAGCTCGAATAGTCGAAATTTAAATACTCTTTTGATAGATTTATGCTATTATTTTCCTTGCTTAAAATCATATCAATTATCACTATTATTATCTTTAGAATCTGCGCTAGCATTAGCAGTAGCACTATCTACATGATCAGTGTCTTTAGACTCAGTCCAAAGATTAGCATTAGAATAGTCACAAGAATTATTGGTAGAAACATATGTTATCATAGTTTCTTATCTTACAATGACAATGACAATGACTATCTATATAAGTCTTATTGTCATTAGCTTTATATTTATCATTATTCCTTATTATTATCATTACTTATTATTATTATTCATTATCATTAGTCATTATTATGTTTCATTATCATTCATCACTCATTATTATCATTACTCATTATTATTATTCATTATCATTAGTAATTATCATGATTCGTTATCATTACTCATCAACATTATTCATTATCAGTATTCATTATTATTATCATTACTCATTATTATTATTCATTATCATTAGTCATTATTATTATTCATTATCATTAGTCAATATCATTATTCATCATCATTATTACTCATTATCATTAGTCATCATATATTATATTACATACATTATTCATTATTCATTATTCATTATTCATTATTCATTATTATTATCATTACTCATTATTATTATTCATTATCATTAGTCAATATCATTATTCATCGTCATTATTACTCATTATCATTAGTCATCATTATTATTCATTATCATTATCATTATTATTATTCATTATTATTATTGATTATTATTATTATTTATAATTTTTCATTGCTCATTTTAATTATTTATTACCAGTTTTCATTATTATTATTCATTATCATTATCATTAGTCAGTATTCATAATTATCATTATCATTATTTTGTACATTATCCCTATCATTATTTGATTAAATATTATTATCACTTTTAACACTTTTATTTTCTTCGTCATCATCATCATTATTATCATATAAATTCCATCATCATTATAATTTTATTATATTCGTTTTTATTTCCACTTATGTATTTGCAATATAAAAGAAGCTAACTCGAATTCCTTATAAGCACCATCTGAACAATCCAGCCATTATGCCCAACGCATTGGGAATTGTATATTAAGAGGCACGAAAAAGTTTATGGCAAATACAAACGCAAAAACATATGAGGCAAAATACAAAATTGCAAAAGTGCAAAACAAGAGCCAAGCATAAACACACACACATACATACATGTGTGTGTGTGTGTGTGTATTGGTTTGTGTGTGTGGGCATAAAAGGCTGAATTGTATTTATGTCGGGCAAATATGTTTCCGGCTCAGCGCTAATAAGGTTTATGACTGCGCCTCACTCATATGCTCTATCTGTGTATTGGTGTCTCCCTGCGTATGTGTGTGGGTGTGTGTGTGTGTGTACAGCCGCCATATTGTCGAACAACTCTTTTTCAACTTTTGGGTAATTTTTCTTATGGCTGCCTTTTTAAAATGAATGACTTTGTGCACAAATTTAGTCTTTACGCCTAATTTCTTTGCGCCGCTGCCAAAGCTCAAACAGATGAAAGATAGCAGAAGGGCAGGTGGGGCAGGTTGGCTGTCCTTTAGGACTTTGACAATACATCATGCACAGCTAAAGGAGGCAACAGCTGCTGCCAGCAATTTTAACTCGACTTTTTGTTGTTGTTTTTGTTTCGTTTCGGTCTGCGTCACTAATTTCCGCTTTCACTAAATCAATTCTGGAGCCTAAACAGCACTCGATTCTCTGCCTTTTTTTTTGGAGGATCTTTATTTTTTGTTCATGTCCTGTGCAACTGCTTTGAACGAATGGCTTTCTGCTTGGCTACAGTCAGAAATATCAAAATGCGCTTTAGCACAATTCCAAACCAACAAATTGTGAGTGTGTGGAAGACTGAAAGAGTGTGTGTTAAAGGCTGACCATGTGGGCATAGCACTGAAGTAGGCGACTGGCAAATACGCTTTAAAAAGTTATGTTAAATATAGCTAGGTATATAAGTTGCTTTATATATATTCATGTGCATACATGACTAGGCAGCGTCTGTTCTTCTTCCACTCATTGCTTTAAATTTGTTATCTATTTAAAAAAATATTTGATAAGCTTATAAATTATATTTAAATGTGCTTATTTCTCAATCTTCAGGCATATTTTGAGCTGAGTTCGAGAGACAAAAAATACTATAGCTACACTCAGCTCCCTAGCTTTTCGCCTAGATCTCCTCAAAAAGTTCTCTTTACTACCCCATATCCCTAATCTATCCTTTTCTAGTGGGTATAGCGCATAGAAAAAAAAGAGTTTGCTTTCAGTCTTTTTTCCTCTCATATTTGTTGTTATTTTCCTTCTTTTTCTTTTTGTTTTTCCTTTCGGTTTGACGTGTGCGTTTGTGGCCAGGCAGCCCGTTGGGCCATCCATCATTGGATCGTAGTTTGGTCTTTACTCATTCAAAATTTGACAGCATCGTTTGTTTGTTTGTTGCCCAGGCATGGACTAGCTTATAGTGCAGCTAAAACGGAAGCAGACACAAAAACATGTACCCAAGGAGACAGTTATATCCTTTAGAGAGTTGCACCTTAAGCAATTAGTTGGTGATCAATGCAGTCTAGCAAGCGGTATGCTCGCTTTAAGTGTACGCAAATATATGGAGACAGGAAAAACTAACCCTGGTCAAGTGGCCAGACCCTCAAATCCCATTCAAAGTGGACTCGTCAAATTGCCGTCAGTCCTGTCGACAATGCATGCAAATGTATGCTAGGCTAGCTTTTTTCAGTTTTCTTTTTTATTTTTGGTTTTTTTTTGGTAATATATTTGCCCCATTTTTTTTGCTCGGACTTCTCTAACCCGTTACGCGGCTATGCTCGCAGAGGCGCTTGCCCGTGCTCCGTCAACAAGACGTGCGTGGACCCGAATCAATCATGCAACTGCGATGTGAAGGAGAACAAATGGAATTCGGATGAGGGCTACTACCAGGAACCGCACAGTTTGGGCATCACCAACATGTATTTCCTGCAGCAGAAAGACCTCGACGACGAGGCCCAGGGCCGCATCACGCTGGGTCCACTCGAATGCGTGGAGACAAGTGAGTTGCTGGCCACAGCCGGATAATGCCTATGCTCTGACCCTCTCTCTCGCTCTTGCACACAGATACCCAAAAGTATGTGGTCACCTTTACCACATCACAGTCGTATATTGAGGTGCCCGGCTGGCGCAAGGGCGATATTGCCTTCTCATTCCGCACCACAGGCGAGAAGGCCATTCTGCTGTTCCAACCGCCCATTCGGGCGCATTATCCTTCGTTCATGGTGGCCCTGACTGGCGACTACCAGCTAACGTTCAATTTTACGCTAAGCACGGGCACCACACGGGAGCTGGTGATTAACTCGCATCGCAGGTAAGTCGCTCGAAGAGATCGGCTCTATAACTGATTGACTCTCTGACTGATGGATTGACTGATGATCGATGATAAGCTCATAGCTCCATAGATTGGCTCACTTCTTCCAAGTTCAAGCTTGTCTCTCGGACTCTTCATTAACGTTTATCAATCAATTTTTAAACTTGAAAAACTTATTAGATTTCTCACATAAAATAAAGTAATTTAGCTAAGACTCTTGCTCCTCTGCCTCTTCTAGTTATTAGCCAAAGTCAATGATATATCTATTTGGATTGCTTTCAGGTTAAATGGCGGCGAATGGCATAAAATATGGATAGACTATAATCAATATCATGTGCGCTTCATGATAAACACCGATTACCAGATGCTCGACCTGCTGCCCGAGGAGGAATTTGGACCGTTCGAGGGCAGCATGTACATCGGTGGCGCCACATTGTGAGTATAGCCTTTGATATAGTATGCCGAAGAGTGCGGGGCTTTAAATGTAATCAGCTCCGGAATGGGCCACTCGCATTCCCAATCGTTTTTATTGCTGCTTGCAACGCAGCAGCAGCAGCTGTAATAATAACCGCAGTACAAAAACTCGCGAATGCGCTCGAATGGTCACCATTTGCTTCACATTGGCCATTGCCCATTGGCCATTGCGGTCTGTGCAATTTATTGCGGCAATTACGTTTTAATTATAAACGCGCGACTAAATGGACAAAACCAGCTACCCGACAACCCAGTCGGGTCATCAAAGACACTCAAAGGCAGCCACAGTCTAGCCCAAGGGACAGCTAACTGTCTGGCTCTCGAGCTTGAAACAACCAAGACTTAGTTGAGGGCGTGGCTAGCAATTAGACTGGCAACTAGTTGATTATGCTTTAGTATAAATACTTTCAAGCTGAAAAATTAGAAATATTATATTGAGTAGGAAAATTGCATTATCACTTTTGGAATCGGTTCTTAATGCAAGTGCAGGACTTTTAAGTGAGCTTAAGCAGCTTAAGCTACGAAAAAGCTTATAATTTATATATGTATATAAGCATATTATATAATCATTAATCAAAACATTTTGAATTCTGTAATTCACTTGCTGCTGCTGTTGCTAAGGCAACTTGGCGCTGGCAAAACATAGATGGAAGCTGTGGATGCTGTTTTTATCCGCAAAGTACTCGCTTCAAAAGAATTGCCATAATTAAATTAACTTCCCGCTGGAAATTCATTTCAAAGTCATTATCAATAATCAAGCTAGGGCCAGGGCCGGGGCCAGCAGGGCGTGTGGCGCCCACAACTCGCCCGCTCGGTTTTTTATCCCCATTTTGAGTAGCGACGCGTTTTCCCCCTTTGGCAGTTTGGCGCACTTAAAACGTGCTTATGCTTGATTGGCATAATTTATAAAGTTTTTTTTTTTGCGGGCAAACACACGCACACCACACACACACACACACACATAGAGTGACAGACAGTTGTGCACACTCATAGATAGAATGTAGCGAGAGGAAGGAAATTTTTTGGTCTGAAATACTTAACATTTCGAGTATGTGTGTGCGAGTGTGTCTGTTTAATTATTAAAAATGTGCAAAATAAAATTTAAAAAAAAAAAAGAAGAAAGTTGGAAATGAGATATATAATAAGCAGAAAATGTGTACACATTTGCACTTAACCTCAAACCCACGAGAGCCACCGACCCGGGAACCATTCATAAAATTTCGATGAGCGGTAAACACGCAGAGTAATTAACGGTAAAGTGCTGCGCTTTATATAGACCCCGCCGACACAACCAAGCCCAATAACCCAATCGGGAGTCGAGCCGAGCCGAGCTCCTTTCAGTTGGCCAATTATGGAGTTCAATTTATTTATCCAAAAGTAAAAAGAAATACAGAGAAATGGCTACAGCAAAAAACACACGAGAATTACAAGCCCGACTACATGGAATACAAAGAAAAAAAGAAGTGGCGGCAAGTGCGCTTAAACGACTCGACTATGACATACTCTGCATAAGGTTGAAGGCTTCAAAAAATATTTTAAAAATTATAGAAAATTTCTATATAATTAAAATTATAAAATATATAATGTAAAGAAGACATTTTATAGTAACTGGACTTGAACATACCCTGTAGATGCTTTAAGACTTAAGGCTATTAGATGTAGTATAAATATATTGGATATAAAATATTCTAAAACATAAACAGTCTATATAATTGGCATTTAAAAACTAAATATTTCTAGCTTTGCAAACAGAAACTAAAAAAATTCATAAACGATTTTAAATGCTCATGCAAAATGCATATAAAAAAATCAAATTAAAAAAATAAACGGTTTTAATAAAGAGTATTTGCGTTTCTATAGCAAAAGAAAAACAAAACCAAATTTGCAAAAATCTACATAAATATTTAAAGCAACGTCAACTAGAGTACAAAATACAGAGCAGGCAAGCAAATAGCTAAATTGTTGAATAAACTCTGGGAACGTTTGTCAACGCGCTGTTTACAGGGTATGCAAATATTGATGTACTTGAGTCGTATAAGGCCAACGACAAGGTTGCTGCCGCTGCTGCTGCTGCTGCTGCTGTGAGCGGTCTGCAGGGTAAGCCATTAAGCGGAATCAGTGCGAGCTCATAAATAAATGAGTTAATCAACATATTGACGCAGACAGGATGAGACTTTACCTTAATGCAGCGGGACACATTAAAGTTGGGAGAGAGACAGCGAAAGGCGGAGGCAGATAAAGAGAGTGAGAGCCAACTGATGGGTTTTCAATTAATCCCTTGTGAGACAGACTCTGCTCAATATGATGTATAACAATTTACAGGAAAACAGCTTTATTGATCTTATTACGGCGATGCCTTTTCAACTAATTAATTAAGTAGAGGTTGCACTTAAGTGCCCCAAGGTAAAGAATATTACATATACAAGAATATTATAGATAAAAAGTGAAATTCAAAATGTATTTGCTTATCAAAGTCAATTCCTTATCTCAATTCTGATCTTGTTTTAATCAGTTGTATCAGCGCTTAATAACTTATAAAATTTCTATCGTCCACTCTTATATTAACTTCGTTTTTATATTTACATAAAACGTCACGTTCCATTCCACTTCGCCAGAAAATGCGAACAAAAATTTATAGACCCCATCCGCTAGTATTTCCGGTATATTTCCTTTGTCGCAATTACACATATCGAATGTATACAAGTTCCTTGGCCAGGGTAGCAATAGATTTCCCTCGAACTCGGGCAGATTCGTACAATCTCTGCCATTAGCCAATGCGATATCTTCGTAATAACTTTTCACAGTTATGAAAGCTGTCTTTGGTACGGCAAAGGGCAATTGCCTGAAGTCTCTTTCGGTGCCACTGGGACTCTGGTAAATAAGCAACTCAATCTGATTTACAGTATTAGAATCCTACACTTTTGATAGATATTCCTATACTACCATTGTTGTATTGTCCACATCGTATTGCCAGTCCACGGTGCCCGAGACGCCAAGGCGGTGTCGACCCACTCGCTCGATACGCAAATCCGGCTTCAACTTAGTCTCATCGTCGCTGTACGATCTTACGTGCAACAGTTCATAAGTCCAATGTCGCAGCACGAGTATCCTGATCAGATGCACAGTTGAAATTTACTTGCTGCACATGCTCACCTTGCACTCACAGCTGCCAAGGACAGTCAACAGCAGCAGCAGCAGCAGCAGCAGGCAATTATTTCTAACCCACAGCTCGAATATCATTTTACACGTTCAATTTGCTGCTCATGGACTGTGCTTATATAGCACCTGTGCCGCTCAGCTTATCTCCGCTCTAATAATACCTTTCCATAATAAGGTTTTCACACGCCAACAACATGTTCCAATATGAACAACATAAAAAGATAGTTTAATTGTCGCAGCCAATAGAAAATTGTTCATTAAAGTGCATGTAACAGGGGGCAAGGGGCGAGATCGATGCCATGAAGTCTACATTTATTCTTAAACATCAACTAATTTGGCCTTGTCTAGCTGACTTGACTATTTCTATGGCACGCACAGACCAAACTTGTTCTAAATAATCTAAATTTTAATATCTTTATGTACAAATAGTCTATTTTGAGACTTGCTTACAAGAGTATATTGGCTTAGCATATAATATAGCCATCTGCAGTGTTAAGGCTTTGGCCTCTTTAAGCTTTGAACAGGCAACAGAAATCATTAAACTACTTGTTGTTTAAGCTTTAATAAAACAATTTACTTGCCAAAATGTTAGCCGACTACAATGAGAAGGCTCGCTAATGATGGCTGTAATCGGCTGTTTTTTTTTGCTTTTGGACAGCGATGCCGCATGTCATGTTATTTAGAAACAGCAGCAGCAAGAACCGCTAGTGTCCTGTTGATCATTTGCATGGCCATCGATTATGCGACGGATGCAGCCAGATGCCGATGCCGATGCCGATGCCGATGCCATTGCCAGAATGCAGACAACTGGCGTGCCAAATATGCGAATTATTTGGCCCCAAACAGCAGGCAACGGGACAACCGGACAGGCGGCGGTTGCCATTGGGAAAATTGTGTCACTGTCCGATTTCTGTCCCTTCTGTCCGCACGGTGCCCGCCGCTTGGTGTCGTCTGTCGTGTGTGTTTGGCGTGTGTGTCGCAGCGCAGCCATGAATGAATGAAAAGTGCTTAATTGCTTGTGACGGTGTTAAATAAATTCTTAATTGCTTCGCACTTTGCGCGTTTGCAACGTTAATAGGATTTCCGCCTGCACATAGCTGCGCTATGCTCACACTCTCCCTCTCCCTTTCACTCTATAGGCTGTCAAATTTCTTTCATTTTATTGCCGTTAATTTTGTGCAATCTCGTTTTTATTTCACCCATTTTTTGGCCGCCAGCCAGCGTGCAAATCCTTTTAGCCAAGTGTCAGCCAGTCACACGGCACATCATTTGCAAGGCAAAACGCTAAATTTCATTTTACAGCCACCCTCAAGCGCGCTGCACGCGTCGTATGCGCAATGCCTGTCTGCCTGCTGTTGACGTTGAGAGCTCAAAAGTGTGCAACACACACAAAAAATATATAAAAAAAAGCAAAAAAAAAAGAAACAGAAACAACTACAGCAAAATTAACATGTGCCACATGCACACATGTAGCATGCCGCACATGCTACAGAAAAACTAATGACTTAATAGCTCGGCCCAGCTTAAAAGCTGCTGATTGCAATTAGGCAAAGGACCCGCTACGGCCCAAGGACTCTTGCCGTTTATTGCCTGCCGGCCAATTCGTTTGGCATCATTCAATAAGTTTTAGCGCTTAAAGAACAATTACACAACTTAGCAAACAATTACAGGCAAAAGCGGCGACAAAGTGAAAAGAAATCGCAACAAAAATGAAAATAAAAGTGGGATTGAGTGGGTGAAGTGTGCATGGTGATTGACTGCCAAATACCCTGTAAAGAACTGTGAAATATAGCAGCTTTTGTTATGCTTTGTTGTGTTTTTTTTTTTTTATTATTAATATATATTAATATTTATTTATTTAAAACGTGTTGTTATAGGCGCTTAAATGTTTGACAAAGTATTTAGACTTGGGAATATATGAAATTTGAATGATATATAAAACGCTATATGCCATGTATATATATATAGATCATTATAGCATTTGCTTGTATCTTTCATGGTTTAATACATCTCGCCTCTTTGATGTATACATGAGTGTCGATACTCCATGTATGCACACAACTGAAGCTTACTCTTACTCCTTTTTACTCTTAATTAAAAAAATGGAATTTTTTCAGTAACTAAGTTTCTAGTTAACATAATAATCGTGAGTTACTTGTTTGCCTAACTTATATAAGAAGTGTTCTTAGATTTCTTTTTACGTATACTACAATTATTCTGTGGGTCTATTCTTGAAACTGTCAACAAGAAGGCAGTTCAGGATATTATAATTTGAAAAAAATTACAAATCATTCCTACAAATGAGATTCATTGCTGATTCACATACTTAAGCCAATAACCAGATAGCCAAGTGCCAAGTATCAAGTGTGCCTTGTCCTTTTCAAGAATCCTTCTGTGCCCTTGCTAAATAGCCCTTTACACATCTCACTTTGCTGGGTATACGAAAGTTGAGAAGAAAAAACCCCAATGCGAGTTGAAAGTTGAAAGTTGGGAATTTCTTTTATTTAAAACAAGAATTTTAATTTTACTTAGAGCTTTGAGCGCAGACAACATTCAGCGAGGGCGTCTGCGACTGCGGCGACTTCTAATGAAATTTACATAATTTAGAAAGACATTTTTTGAGCAACTTTTCACTGTTGTTGTTGTTGCTGCTGCTGCTGCGTTGGAGTTGCCGCCGAACGCGTATAAACAAGACATTTCCGCCACTTTAATTTTCAAAAGCTTACACTTGAGATTTTATTGGCCAATTCATTGTTGGCTACGAAAAGGGGAAAGCAAAACGCTGCAGCAAGAAAATCAAGGGTAAGGATTCGGTGCGCAAAAAAAAACGTAAGCTGAAAGCGAACGAAACTTGCAAATTGCTGAACGCTAAAAAATGAGTAAAAGGAGAGGGAGAGAGTAGAGAGAGAGGGAGCAAGAAGTGTGCTGGAAAACGGTCAAGAAATTAAAGCAAAGTTTAGATGCCCTATCTAGAGTTAAAAGTATTAAATTAAATGTGAAAAAGTCAAACTAAAGATATGAAAACAAATATTAAGAGGGAATAGATATAAGCTAAATTAGTAAAGAGTATTAAGTGAAACGTAAAGTTTAACTAGAAATGCCTTATTAAAATAGATTCAAATAAATTAAAAAAAAAAATAAAAAAAAAAAAAACAAAAAATAAACAAAAATTCAACTAGAATATTACAACTAGAATTTGGCTAAAATAAATTTAGCATATTTTATACTCAAAAATGCTGCATAATTCAAATCATTAACTTTCAAAATTTCAATGAGTAAAGAAAGAAAAGTGCAACTAAAAAGTCTAACTAGAAATTAATTTAACTAACCATATTTCCTATTAAAAAGTTTCATAAATTATGAGCAAATCTTTAACTAAGTTAGAAAAAAATTGAAATAGAAAAATTGCAATGGTAAAAACTCGTTTGAAGCTTCTAGAGTTCTGTAATTCACATCTTAATAAGAAGTAAATATTAAAATATACAAATCTTAATAAAGTTATAGTCTATTAATATACTCAAAAGCTCAAACGGCTATCAACTTTCCCTTTTCAAGCGCATTTGCAGCAGTTAAGAAGAAAATAAATTGACTCAAAAAGTCGCATAAACCAGCAATGGATGAATAAAGTTGTAGACGTTTGGGTAGGGAAAAATCTCTCGGCCCAAAGGCTGTCCGTTGCGTCCGCATCGATTTGCCCAAAACGTGGAAAATTGTGAAAAGCCAAAGGCGTCGCGACAACGTCAACATGAAGCAGCAGCAGCAGTTCCACAATTCATTTGCATAAAGTCGGCGCAAAGTTGCGAACAGGTGGAAAAGCGTCACGAGAATATATTTGTTTGCGCTTTGACCAGCTTATTGAATAGTTATGACCAGCTCGCTACTTAATAACACATAATCCTCATTCAATCTGCTTCTGCTTGCTCTCTTTTCGACAGCGACCTGCTGAAGAAGCTGTCTGTGAAGGCGGGCCTCATCGGCTGCTTCCGCGGCCTGGTGGTCAATGGCGAAATACTCGACATCTACAGCTATATGTCTGTGCACCTGTCGGAGATTATCAAGGACTGCAAGCCGTCTTGTGTGCCATCGCCCTGCCGCAATGGCGCTCAGTGCAAGGAGCTGTGGAGCAGCTTCAAGTGTGTCTGCAACAATCCGTGGGCACACATCGGCGAGTTCTGCGAGACAAGTGAGACAGGTTTATATATAAAATGTAACTTTTCGCTAATCTTGAACGCTTGCAGACATCAATGAGAAGGCGCTGACATTTATCAACCGCGAATCGTTTTTAATGCGCAACTATCTGAGTGTCGGAGCCACGCCAGCTATACTGCTGCATGGCATTGAAGGCGAGCGGGAGATGCTGAAGGGCATCTTGAGCCAGAACCTCTTGATCAATCTGCGCACCTACGACACCAACTCCCTGGTGCTATATGCCAACGATCACTACAACAACTTTGTGCACCTCTACATTAGTCAAGCGCGCGAAATTGTCTTCCTCTATAACTATGGCGACGAGATTGTCAATCTAACGCTGCAAGACGAGACACTGATGGGCAACCTGAAGAGCATACAGGTGGCAATTGTGCGCGGCGAACAGGAGACGCGCATGCATGTCAATCAGCGCAGCGTGAGCATCGAGCGGGGCACTTTACTCCTGGATGAGTATGCCAACAAGCCGTGGAGCAATCCAGAGAAGGGTAAGTGCGTGAGCAGGGCAATTGAAGTGCTTAAAAGAATATGAAGCAGATTTCTGATGAGACTAAAGCAGAATATATAAATGACGTACATAGAATACTTTAAAGATTTAAAAACAAAACTAGTTTTAGTTTATGAAATAACAAAAACTTGTACTCCACAGCTTCCTAGGCAAAGCTAGAATACTAAAATATTTCAGCTACAGAATCTGCATAATTATGATATTTTGATCAACTGAAAAAATGCTTAAAGTAAACGTTTATTAGACGGAACACCAACTTCTTTTCGGACTCAATGAAAACAATGACAAGCAGCTATTGCGCTCCACTCACATTTGAACCAAGCGACGGAGCTCGGCTCGCGGTTACCTTCGTCACTTCCAGCGGCTGCCGAGCCTTGAGGACTTGGCGTGCGAGGAGCTGTTGCTGTTATTCTGCGCTTCGTCATGAGCGGCCAGCTCCTCGTCGATGAGCAGCTCAAAGTTGCCCATGGCATCCGTAGTGGGCATCTTATTCCAGCGCACATCGGGCACACCGTCCGGTGGCAGCACCACCGATAATATATTATCAATGAGTTTGTATTTGAGTATGCGATCGTTGACCGTGGTGGATGTGAGCGAGGGCGAGGCATTCACCTCCACTAGCCAGGGCTTCAGTGCGTTGTCGATGATTATATCGTAGCCATAGCACTCGAAGCAGTGTCGGTCGCTGGCCATGACCGGCGCCACGGCGCGCAGCGAATGCACAATCAGCCAGGAGATGGCGCCGAATAGACGATCCGTCACCTCCTTGCCGCGTGTGCCCTCCAAATAGAGCGCCAAATTCTGAACGGACCATTTGCCGCCGTGCAACGTGTTGTACTCCCCGCCGTGTTTCTGTACGCTCACATTGGTCAGGTGGACGTACATGTTGTCCAGCTCCGTGACGCTCGTGTCGTATTTAACGGTGCAAAAGCGACAAAAGCCCAGCTTGAAGAGATAAGCCTTTAACGGACGGAACGAGGCGACGAGCACATAGAGGCGCAAATCGAACTTCTTGCCACCGATCAGCAAGGGATTATCTATATAGCGCGAGATGACATACGATTCCTTGGCGATTTGTGGATGGAAGGGTCCTTTGGCCTCTCTCGACCATTTCTTGAGCTTGCTCAGCTTGTTGATGAGAAAGATGCCAGCACCTTGCGATTTGCCACACGGCTTCATTATCCAAGTGCTCAGGGGAAACTTGCGATATTCCTCGACGAACATATTGTAGTCAGCGGGCAGCACAAAAGTCGTGGGCACAAAGTCCAAATAGAGATAGCGCGTGCCGCTCGAGTTGTTCGATTCGGTTTTCTCGGCCAACGGATTGCCGTCCCGCTCGAGATCCTTGCGATAGCGTTTGATGTTCTTCACCAGCAAGTCCTTGCGCGACAGCTCGTAGTGATTGGGAAAGTGATTGATGATCTGATTGTCGTGCATGCGATATCCACTGTCGACGCTGAAGATGTTCCGGCACGTCTGCACGCCGGCCCAATAGAAATGCCAGTCGTCGTCGCCGCTCACCTGATTCCAGCCGCGCTTCTCGAAATTGTTAACCAACACCGATTTGTCCAGATCCGTGCAGAAGCCAATTTTCATACGTTCATGGCACTGGCCACCACCAGCGACGCCAGACGCATTGCTGTTCGCATTATTTGAGCCCGGCAAACGGCCGTACATGGTGGCAACGCTCTGGTCGATTGTCGGCTGCAGACTGGCAATGCGCTGCGTCCAATCGCCGATGGCGCCACCATAGTAAAGAATTGTGCCTTCATCCCCACCCCCACCACCACCACCGCCAGCCCCAGCGCCGTCAACGCCACGACTACAAACCTTCATAGAGCCCTGCATCGACAGGCGGTTGCCTAGCGTCTAGTCAGGGATTGTTTGGTTTCGTTTCGTGTCGTTTTAGTTTTTCTTTTTGTTTTTCTTTTGGTTATTGAACCAACAAAGCCTTTGCCACTGTCGTCCTGTTGCTGCCTTCTCTTTAGCACTAGCTGCTTGCCCGACAGCGACTGCCTGCTAACCGCCTCACCTACTCCTGTGCGCGTTTTTTATGCGCCGTCAAGCGCAGCATGAAAATTTTCAAATAGTTTAGCAAGTAAAGTTGCAAAAATGCCAAAAATTTACACACGCACACAGAGACAGGGGCACACACTCATACAGTGAAAAACCGTGCACTGCGATCACCAAATTATATGCACTTGAAATGTTTCCTTTTTTATTATAAGCTCGATAAAACAGACGAAAAATAAAATGAAAAATCAAGCAAAAAATCTGAAATATATATATAAAAAAAACTAGCTGTATGAAAGCAATTGAAATGGTAAAACTTTTCACTATGGCATAAAAAACATGCAGCTGCTTTATAGTTGTTCGAAATTTGTGAGCGGCATATGTTAATAAAACTAAAACTAAAACTAAAACTGAAACTAAGGCTAAAACTGTAGCTGCAGCTGAATCTGAATCTGAATTGTTGATGCGGAAAACGTTTTGAAAATGCATAAAACAACATGCACACACACACAGTCTGCTATCCATTGGATTAGCTTTTAATAAACATTGAATGTCAATTAGATTTAAATCATTTTCTATATTTCACGAGCCGGTTCAGTTTGCTGTTTACAAACGTCTAAACAAAACATGAAATTTGAACTAGAACAAGAAACTGCAATGGGATGCTAACGACTGCTTAATACTCGTTGGCAGTCTAAACCTCAAAACTGTGAAAATTACGGTGTATGATCGGCTTGGCCATGGCCAAAAGGCGTCGTCATAGATTAGATGCATTGATAAAGAACGTCAACAGTTGATCAATTGAATCGAAGGCTTAAGCTTCTGGCTTGAAAGCTTTAGAAGATATAGATGTTTGCGATTTAGATATAGATATATCCGCTATATATGCTTTTGATCTTGGGTTGCAATTTGAAGACTCTAGCAGAAAACCTCTCATACTCTATCAGACTCAATCATACTCATAATATCCATCATACTCTATCAGTTGAGCATATCCACGAGTATATAAGCCAAATATCATGTGTCTAGCTGCTCAAAACCAATATGCCCTATCACTTCGTGCATGAGTACAAAGATTTAGTTCATCAAATATGAATAAGGTTTCATATGTAGCATAAATGCAGAGCAAAAACTTTTAGCAAAAAATTTGCTGCTGTCCAAAATGTCGATTGAATTTGATGGCGCTGCACAAAGACAATGAAATCTAGTTTGAAGTCAAGTTAAAATTGAACAATGCAGTAGATTTTACTTATAATTAGCAACGAACAGTGCGAATTGGATATGTAAATGGAAATGTCGAATGCTAATTTTGGATATCAGTTAAACACTTATTGCTACAATGTATTGAAGCTTATTGAAATTAATGCTTAACACTTCACTCAAAATATAGTCATTCAAATACAATTCTAAATTAGCTGTAAATTAAACTAAATGCAATAGGCAAATTATTTTATAGCCAAACAATAACTGCAACAATTCATATTGTGTTGAACAGCACTTAAAGAGCGGCTTTAATTAATACAGCCAGACGGGCAGAATGTTGCACTCTGGTCAAATAGCATCTCGAATTTGGCAAATTTACGAGAGTTTTGCCAAAATGGTAAATCAATCAATCAGCAGCTACAATGGCTGGCAACGGGCTCGATGCCAAAAATCAATCATAATTAGCACAGGTCGAAAATTGCACATGTGAATATGCTCGACTATTTGGGCAATTGCAAACCGAAAGTAAGACATAAGCACTTATGTAATTAAATGCGTTAACTGACATTATAGCCACAGCTACGACTATGGTTGGGCCAGCAGTCAAACATTTCAATTAGACAAACTTAAGCTGCGAAATGCCGACAGAATCTGAAATGCCACAGAAATGAACGGTCATTTCCGCAAATACGATTCGATTTGCGGCCTGGCCCTGGCCCTGGCCCTGGACCGTTCCCATTTACAGTGTACTGTACTGGCTAGCTAGCTCATTTTGATTTTGTTTATTTGCAGAGGTGCTGTCGCCCCATCGACCGCCCGCACCGCCTACGGAGTACTTCCAATTCCATGTCGGTGGCTACGATCCGGCAAATTTGCTGCGACCAAATGTGGATGCACCAGCACTCGAGGGCTATATCGGCTGTGTGCGCGGCCTCAAAATTGGCGCCCAGTTGATCGACTTGGCGGAAATCAATGAAAGGAATATAGCGCCCAGTAAGTACCGAGTATAAATCAATTTTCACTGAGTGCAATTTTGCGGGCCAAGGCAGCACACACACACACACACACAACCGCATACAGCCCAAATCCATTTTGGGCTGCCATTTAGCCCCACTTCTATCCACTTTGTGCAACTTAATATGCAGGCAATTTCCGTAGAGTGCTGCGCCTGTTAAGCTGAGGCCAGGCTCCACTTGGTGTGCCAAGATTAATGCCAATGCGATAGGCCAAATGCCGCTGGCTACACGGCGTATGATTTATGTGACCACACAAACACACACACACACACACACGCCGCGGAAATTGTGTGCCGACATTGATACGTTTAAGTAACTGGCTGAGGGTAGCCACAAAACCAAGAAACTATTTATTACCACGTGCTCTCTCTCTCCCGCTCTCTCTCTCTCTATGTATAATGCTCTCTTGCTAATACATATATTAATCAAAGTACGCCGACTAACTGATTGATGATCGGCACACAACTCAGTTAGCCTGGCTAACTGAGGAATAAACCACGAACAGCCGAACATACTTGAGACTTGTGAATCTTTCAATATGGATCTCGTTCTAGAACTCTTCTAACTGCCAGACAGGCTGATGACAGCTTCCTTTGATACATATAACCAACTAATTGGCTGATTAATTGTTCACCTTACATCTTCCATCTTCAGATCTGCCAACTAAGAAACAATCCTTTAAATTATTTCCTCTACTTCCACAGCTCTGGATGGCGTCCTGCCCAATTGCCAGATCAAGTGCGATGCAGAGCCCTGCAAGAATGGCGGCATTTGCAAGGAGCACTTTGCCGAACAGCTGTCCACCTGCGACTGCGAGCACACCAGCTTCCTGGGCGAGTTCTGTTCGGTGGAAAAGGGCGCCGATTTCAGTGGCGAGTCCACGCTGCAGCGCAAATTCGAGCTGCCCAGCACGGGCAGCGTTAACTATGTGCGTCTGCAGCTGGCCTTCTCGTCGTTCGATTTGCGACGTGCCAATCGCATTATGCTGCTGCTGCAGACAGCTGCGGAGCGCAGCTATTATCTGCTGCTGGCCATCACATCGGATGGCTACCTGCAGTTCGAGGAGGATCGCGAACATGGCCAAACAGTGGGCGCACGCATCGATCGGAATTTCCTGAACAGCGCTCGCCACTCGGTCTACTACGAACGCAATGGCACCCAAGCGCTGCTCTACATTGATCGCGAACAGGTGCCGCTAACGGCCTTTGCTGCACGCGCGCTCACCAGCAGTCCGGACGAGGGCGCAAATCGGGCACAGATCGGCGGCATCAACACCACGGATTCACGCTTTGCCATCTTTAAGAGCTACAGCGGTTGCCTGTCAAGTGAGTAGATGGAGAAGGGGTTGTTAAACGAGTTCCATGGGGTGCCCTTTGTGGCCAATGTCAAGTCAGAGTCAGGAGTCATAAATTTGAGCGCGCTTTGCCATTAATTATATCCTGTAAACAGAGCAAGTGTATTGGGGTATGATGTGCCAGCTAAAGAGAAATGATTGAAGAATGGCCTAAGCTGCCTATCGATTCATCCCTGTCGCTCTATCGATATAAAGCATTTAATAATATATTAGTAGAAGACACACATAGAGGATATGTTGTAGCCTTTCTCAGCAAGGCAATTCTCTTTGATTTTTTTCGAGACATACTCAAATTTTTGCTGTTGTTGTTGCTGCTATGCGGTCTCATCAAGCGCCACGCCCAGCGGCTGCAGCGAGTTACTGCAAGTTTATGAACAGAAACAGGAGCTGTACGAAAGGCAGGAACGCATCGGGGGCTCAACTGCAGCACTTTGTTGACCAAAAATTAAATTTATTCGCTGCCATAAAAAGTCATTTCCGTGGCCGTTGCCATAAATTTTGTCAGTTTTTGCGCTCAAGATTTACTGTGGCTCATATTTAAATTGTTGCTGCTGCTGTTGCTGCTTTCACAACAGGCAACCGCAGCGGCCAGCACTTTGATTAAAATGCTCAGCTCTTGCCCTCTCTCGCAGCCTCTCAACTAGCTAGCCGGCTGTTAGTTTAACGCTAACCACGCCTCCTTCTCCCACACATACGTGCAGCTCATGCAAGCACATGCTGCAGCCGTTAAACGTGCCCCATTAAAGCGCCATCGATGCGCGTTAGTTTGCCAATGGCCATAAACAGGGCCCGCAACGCCCACCCGCCCAGCACACTGTTAGCCAAAATTCAGATTGCAAAACTTTGCCCTTCAATACCTGCTCAAATGTTCCCAACATCAATTCAAACAAAATTTATGAAAATCAAAAAACCAAAAATGGAAAAAACTCTTTTATAGTGAAATTAAATTACTATTGAAATGAAAAATAATTTTCAATTAATGAAAACATTGCGTATTCAAATTGAAAGCCAACAAGACATAATGTGGTATTATGTTTCATAATAGGCAGCGCATTAAATAACATATTTAATTGTTTGATTTATTTATATTTGGAATAATACAAATTTCATTTCTGTTCAGCATGGCATTAAAATCTCTTTCAATCAGTAAATTTATGGTTTAATTATATTATATATAAATTAAATATGATTATTTTGCGCTTTGAATGGGTATTTCCATGCTGTCAAAATCGAATATTTCTCAAAAATTATATTCTTAATATGTAATGGCAGATGAATATAGTTAAAATGATCACCAAAGGCAATTGAAACACTTATTTCTAATTCATTTTCTATTCAAGTTTTTCTGCAAGCTTTCAAATTTAATCTAAAAATAATTAAATATATATTTTATAAATATATATAAATATATATATATATACATATATATGGCCAAGATTTGATCAATGCAAAAGTCTTTTAAAAATAAAAATGTACAAAAAATAAAATAAATTTTTAGCCCTACATAAGTTAGGGTATAAAGCCTTCGACAGTCTAGCAGAAACAAATGGATTTTTTCTTTAATATTCTTCATTATCATGGTATCATATGATTCAGTTCAAATGAACATATACAATGGTGTTCATAAAAATAAAAGTGCTACACTAAACAAAATATAAACCAAATGAAGTGGGACTTTTTCCATTGATAAATAAAATTATGTACACTGTGAGCTTAGAATAGGTATACAAAAGAAATTGCGAATAAAAAACCCAGTACTTTCGTTCAGAATTCATCCGCTGTTCATAGAAATAGTAGTGCTTAATGTAAAAAATCGAAAAATTAAATTATAAAAAAAGAATTAATTATAAAAAAATTAAATTATTAAAAAATTTAAATAAATATATTATATTTTACTGATTAAAATTTATTGAAATAGAAAAAAACATTTCTTAATTTTAGTTTTAGCATTGAAAAGAGAATTTTAGGTGACCGCTACTATTTTCATGAGCACAACTGTACTTAAATATATATTTATATATTTATATTTATTTTGCTGCAATGCAAATAATTTAATGTTGAACCGCAGCAAACAAATTTATGAAGTAGATAGCAAATTATGATTTATTATTTATGATATTAAAGTAGATGCTTTAACTTAATGCACGAGTAAACGTAAGCTTGCTAGTTAAACAATTTTGTAGAGCAGTGTAAACACACTCACATACACATTCGCACACGCACACATCTAGCACTTAAGTTTGGGTATTAAAAATTTTATTGCTAATTTCGAGCAGGCATTAAACATGCACGAATGGTCACAGCCCCCACTTGAACTTTGACCTAATACGACGGACAGTCCAACTTCGAAATCCGATTCGGTACGCCGTCCCTCTCTCTCTCTAACTCCAACTTGGACTTCGACTTGAAACGCATTTGCATTTCAATTAGAATTAATGACCTATACTAATGAAAATTTCAAACGATATATACGTATATATATATTCGCAGACATCTATATACAGGTGAATGGGCACGTTATGAAGCCACTTGAGGAATATATGCTGTTTACCAAATCTGGCGCCGACAACATAACCGTCATTAATCCGCAGGGCCTACGCAGCGCTCAATGCAATGCCAAATTCGATGTGAGCGAACAGCCCACCCAGGAGCCGATGGTCAACGTGAGCATGGTAAGTGGGAAGGGGCAACGGCAGGGTAAGGAGTCGAGCCTAATGACTGCGCGCCATTCCCCTTGATCCGCAGATACCAGAGCCTTGGGTCGAGGAGCCGCCGCAACGTGTACCCTATATTTCGACATTCGTTTATGATGTCGACAAAAAGGAGGACTCCACCCAGGTGCTGTTCATAACGCTGACCAGCGTGTTTGTCATCATTGTTGTGTGCTGCCTGCTTGAGGTATACCGCAGCCATTTGGCCTACAAGAAGCGCATCGAGCGCGAAACGGACGAGGACATTATTTGGTCCAAGGAGCAGGCAACCAAAATGCACGAATCGCCAGGTGTCAAAGGCGGTGCTGCAGCAGCGGCCATGAAAGCAGGCAACACGCTGCCACCATATAGCTATAAGGCGGTAAGTGCAACATGCTGTAGCATGTAACAATGTGTGTGTGTGTGTGTGTGTGTGCTACATAATGAGATTTATATGCAACTGCCTTTGTCTGCTGCAGCTGCCGCAGGAGGATAAAAAGCCGGGCAATGGTGCGCCTTTGGTAGGCATCTTGAAGAATGGGAATGCGCCTCCAGCCACACCCACAGCGGTGGCAACAAAGAATGGCGACATTGCAGCCCGCATCGATGAGGTGGAGGAGGAGGACGAAGAGGAGGAGGCAGAAGAGCAGCAGTTGGAGATGGCGGAGCAGCCAGCTGAAGAGCAAAAGGAACTACAGGAAGCACAACAGCTGCTTAACCTTGCAACGGATGTGGATGCGGATGCGGCAGCGACAGCGGCTGCGGCTGCAGCTGCGGCTGCTACTGCGGCTATAGCTGCCACTCCGGCCACCACAAATGGTGCGTCATGTAAATTTTTACTTTTTTAAAAAGCCATGCAAAATATGACATTACAACATTGCAGTTGACGAGCCAACAGAAACGCCAGGAATGCAAAATGGTCAGGCGGATGCCGCGGAATCCACTTCAGCAGCAGCAACAGCTACAACAACAGCAACACCGACAACAACAGCAACAGCAACGCCAACAACAACGAATACAACGACAACGACTTTGCCGGTAAGCCAAAACTTAAACAAATTGGCGCCCCTCGTCACAATTAGTGAGACGAGCTTGCATGAGCTGTAAACGGAGCCAAGCATCCCACCTCCCAGCCACGCCCATGTACATAACACACACACACGCCATACAACAACAACAACAACAACAGCATGTCATATAACATAATGCATACAAACCAAAATGCGACTTTTATGGAACAGAAAGCATGGCAAAATTATATTTTTGTGCTCTGCCTGAACGTAGATATGTTAAGATAGACAAAAACTTTGCTTCGGCTTGCCGAAACTCAAATGCCTCTGCAGATATATAATATAATCAGAATAAAAAATTATTTAAAAAAATCAAAAATGATTATAGTTTGGGAATTTTATTGATAGATAATTTCAAATAAAATTTGGATTTGATTTGTGAATGATTTAAATAGAGTTTTATACATGAATTAAGTAGTTGATTGATTTAATAGAAAACCTTAGCATATATTATGTCTTCAGGAAACAATCCGATATGCCAAGATTTTTAACTCAACTATTGAGCAGTCAATCATATAGACTGCAGTTGATAGATGCATGAAAATGTATACAAAAAAATATTTACACAAAATGCTGTGTCCTGCAGAGATGTTAAGAATCGTTTTGAAGAACGCGATTAAAATATTAAACAAAAATAATTTTAAATACAAAAATATTATTATAAATATTTTCAACTATCAATTATAAATGCTATGATAAAACCTCTTTTTGTGCTTACAAATTCTGAGCTCTGTTTAAATAACTAAAAAAAATTTCGAAAATTTCTGGATTTCAGCAAAGTATCAGATTATATCAGCTATATATATTCATTATTTTATGAATAGCATTGCCATTGAAGCGTTTAATAAAGATTTCTTAAAGACAGTTCTAATGTAGATACTTAAACTATTTTGGCTTTTGACAAGCTTCAACTATTACATGATCAATAACTCGCTTAATCAGAACTCTCTTAACTGCTCTGGGCAAGTTTGTATATGATAGAGTGACATAGAACAAGCTCGTTTATTAAAGATAATATTCAAAATAGCAACAAACATCTGCAAGGGCATTCCAAAATTGTGTGTTACTTCTAAGATTCTATCATAAATATTATTTATAGACAATATTAAAACCATATTCATAATTCAATTATCATAAACTAGCTTAAAATATATTATCAAACCCTTTTTTGCTTGACTTTAATATCCCTACTATACACATATATAAATCATACAATATCTAGTCCATAGATTACTTTAATTATCTATCTAATTACTACATTAATATTTTTTGAGACATGCCAAATCACTTTTGCCCAGCATGAACATCGATCATAAATTATTATAATTTAGCTTTTATGATGATAAATCCGATTTCCGGCTTAATTTATTGACGCTCAGTAAAATGTTGTTAAGAATTATATACAAATATATATATCAGGATTAGTGGCAGCTTATAAAGTGCGGGCCACACCAAATCTGCCCTAATCTTGTGTATATAATCAAATTAAGTATGTGCGTGTGTGTGGGTGTGTTAAACAACTTGCGTGAATATGGTAATTGAATTGATTTTAATTGAACATCGACAAATAAATACGTAAACAATACAAATTAAATTTAAATCAAACTTTTCTTCGCTATTCACTTTTATTTATGTTTCCAGCAAACTTGTCGAGCAGCATTTTAACATTGTTTATCTTTTGTAAGAGCCAGTGACCGACTAGCAAATACCCTTTATATATAATTATCAATGACAATGATAAATTAGTCTCTGATTAACGTTGAATGTTGTTTACCTATATAATCTTGCTTGAATATCTTTTCTTATCTTATCTTTTTTCCACAATTTTTAAAAATATTCAAGTTTTTAAGACTTGATTATTTATATTGAATTTTATTTATTGCAATATTATTAACAATTTATTTTTATTTTTTTTACTCAAAAATTTATTGAATATTTCAAATATTTTTACATAACCTGGAACCTGGGAATTTTTTTTATCTAATTAAATATATTTCTTATATTTTTTATGTTCTGAACTTGCATAAGTAATTTTATTTCTCTAGCTCTTCTAATCTCTGAGTTCTTATAGACTATCAAAGGTTATATGTGCATAGTCACACTATATTCCACTACCAATTTATAAGCTACACTAAATAAATTCTTCAGATAACAGTTTATATAAAAGGATTCTTTGAATATGTATAAAATATCAGATTATTTTATAAATATTTAATACAATATTTTATCTTATATCACTAGCTCTTCGAATCCCTTAACTAATTGAGTCAGTTGGACAAAATATATTTGCATATCTACTCTATCTGCACTTCAACTCTATCTTCCGTCTGCATTCATTAGAGTTCGCGTTTCGAGCTCTTTATTGGGTATCCATGCAGCCAATGGTATTACGATTTATTTTAATAATCGTAATTTAATGCCGCTCTGTGTATTTATGCGTGTTGTTTTAATTGTTGTTGATTTAAAATTGATATAAAAAGTGCGCTTATTATGCGATTGCTTAATTAAAATCAACTGAAAATCAATCGCATACCCATTCACACGCCCTCCCTTTGCCATGTGACAAAGAAATTCTTTGGGTTGAGGATTTTTTGCAGCAATTGTTTTGAATGCAAGGCGAAAAATCAGATTGCTGTTAAAATGCTTTGCACGTTTAATTAAATATGAATTATTTAATAAGCAAAATAATGAAAATAATGCACAAGCCATGCAACTATTGTTCGCTCAATAAAATTCGAACGTTTAATTTAATAGCATTTTGTTACCAAATACATAATTAATTTCCACTTTGTGATCATATTTGAACGGCGAATACGCAAAAGTTTTTAAGCTTCTCGGCTCTTGCTGCATTTACATTCAGTTTTTGCCAAATTCTTTTGCCTTTGCTTTTGTGGTTTAGACAGTTGCTTTGGCCACTTCGTGCACTGCTTATGCCTGCAGCCAGCCACCCACGCTGCCAAGTGTGTGTGTGTGTGTGCAGAATAGTCTGAAATGTTATTTAATAGAAAAAGCGCAGCACAAAAGACGAAGCTGCACAGTGGGCTGAGGAGCTTGTAAAAATCTGGAAAAATTCAAAGAAGCTTGAAAAGGAGAAAAACTTGATGGCAATTAATTTAAAAAAACAGTTAAAAATTTCCAGCTTTGTGTTTTGCTTAACAAGTCTTTTCCTTTGAGTACTAAGCCAAGCTTAAGGCTTTGTCAGGCTTACAATAGACTAAAGCAGCTATGCCTAAATTTCTGTATTAAACATCGATTCATTAGCTTTTCCGACAAATAAATTTCGATGTCGATATAAATATATTTTTTAGCTTTGATTATTTTATTTTATTTTATTTTATTTTATTTTAGCTTTGATTATGTTCTTTTAATGCAGATTCTTATCAACTTTAGAAAGTAAACAATTTTTATGTCAATATTCATCATACTTTTTCTAGAGTCTTCTTTTGTATATGTAATTTTCTTTGAAGCGTCACTTCTATTTCTTCTTCTCCACTTATTTTCCTTTTCATTTATAACAATAAAAATGTAATTTCGGTCCACAGTGCCTATTTAACTTTCACCACACTCAATGCCCACGCAAAGCCACGTAAATTGAACTGCATTCGTGGAGCTTATTGCAATTGCTCCTTTTGTTGCAGAAGACATTTGCAAAATTAATATGCGTTGAGGCGAAACTAGCAAACTGAAAAAAAATATATATATAAAAATTGTACACAAAAAGCAAGCCAAACAAAGGACAGAGAACAGACAAAGCCGCAGCTAAGACCAAAATAACAAGTATTGCAGCTGAACGGACGGCCACAAATTTATGCAATATTATTTCGATTTGGAAGTTAGTTTCATGTGGAGCACAAATACCTGCCATATCGTCCCATGTTGCATGATTTATATATAGAAATCGAGACAAAAAGCAACTTGAGCCGAGCAAATGCTTGCCAATGTGGCAGAACTTGAAACTTTGCAAGCGACTTTACAGCACGAACCGAAAAAACAACTTTAGGCGAATCTCTTGCCATCTCCTGCCTGAAATCTAAAAGCAAAATATTGAACTTATTGGCTTTTATATAGCTCGTAGCGTCAAAAGTGTCTGTAGAAAGTTTTTTTTTATATGGAAGTGGTCGGTTGGAGGGCGGGGCGGGGTCTACTTTTGAGCTTACTTAGCATGTACTTTTCGCAGAGTTGAACTTAAGCTGCAGCCAAATTGAATTTTGTGACTAGTCGTCGCAATCTCGAATCTCGCATTGCAAATCTTCGAAGCTGCAGTTCTCTTGCGAGCGGCATTCGAATCTGGCATAGTCATGACATTTGCCAGGTTTAACTATTGTCTAGCTGTGCGAGACTATCAGCTGCTCTATGCAACAATTTGGTTTCAACTTTCTTTAATTTGCATTTGGTTTGCGTTTAGCTTAGTGTAGCTACCCTATGCCTCTGACTACAGAGTATTGTGCCTTGGCAAAACTTGTTCGGGCAAAGTGCGTGCGCCATTGTCTAGGCAGCACTGTACTGCAGCTCGACCCCTAGCAACTCACTGCCATTTTATATGCTCCTCCATTTCCGCCTGACTTGCGGCGTTTGGCGTCGACGCTGCCTTCTTCCTGCCTGATTGCAAGGCAACCGAAATTGAAGCGCATCCCCGAAAAGTTTCCATTTTCCCCACAGCAAATCAAAAAGTTTCGCTTACAGCTGCCAGCTAGGACGACGACTCGCTCGGGGTGTGTTTTTTGAGCAGCTTTTGTTTAACCAAAGAAAAAGTGCAAGTGCGGGTGCAGTTACTGCTGCTGATGCTACTGCTGCTGCTGCATGTATGCCTAGTTTCTTTTGATGCCAAAATGTTTTGTGGCACGGCTTCTTTGCATTTTCTTGCTACTGCTGCCGCTGCTGCTGCTACTGCTGTTCATTTGGCTTGGCCACAAACGCAGCACGCACTTAACTTTGCCAGTTTGCCGCAATGCTGCGGTGAAACTCATT